GCTTTTTAACGTACTCTGTTAAATGGGCCTGGAATGAGTCCCACACCAGCAGTTGCCTGTCAATGTTATTAACACACCATAGTTTCCACAGCCAAAACTTTATACTTTCTTCATTTACCCATGTCTTTGCTCCTGCTCCACACATGTATACCACAATACCGCTCAGGATGTCACAGTTTGGTTGGGGACGAATTTTCTTGCACATATGCGATGACTTTAAGTTTAAAGGAAATGTCATGAATTTTTCCTGGTTCCCGACACGGTGATGGTGTAATGATGAGTTGGGATCAGAATGGTCATAGATTGATATTATTGTAATGTTAAATAATGACATACAATCGATGAAAGAACACAAGGTCATGACCTAGTTACTGCATCTCTCGACAGAAGTTGACACAGTCTGTCTAATTGTCATTTCATACACAAACTATTAGAAACCTCCTCCTTGGAAAATTGCATGCCCCCGGGCATTTATTAGAACATGTACAATATGTCCTTTGTCTGGTCTAGTGTGGTCCTGTCTTATGTCATATGTCTGTTCAGAACAAGGTCTGACCTTGTCTTGTATCATTTGTCTGGCCTGGTCTGTCCTATCTTGTATCATTTGTCTGGCCTGGTCTGTCCTATCTTGTATCATTTGTCTGGTCTGGTCTGTCCTATCTTGTATCAGTTGTCTGGCCTGGTCTGTCGTATCTTGTATCATTTGTCTGGCCTGGTCTGCCTTTCTTGTATCATTTGTCTGGCCTGGTCTGTCCTATCTTGTATCATTTGTCTGGCCTGGTCTGTCCTATCTTGTATCATTTGTCTGGCCTGGTCTGTCCTATCTTGTATCATTTGTCTGGTCTGGTCTGTCCTATCTTGTATCATTTGTCTGGTCTGGTCTGTCCTATCTTGTATCATTTGTCTGGTCTGGTCTGTCCTATCTTGTATCATTTGTCTGGCCTGGTCTGTCCTATCTTGTATCATTTGTCTGGTCTGGTCTGTCCTATCTTGTATCATTTGTCTGGCCTGGTCTGTCCTATCTTGTATCATTTGTCTGGTCTGGTCTGTCCTATCTTGTATCATTTGTCTGGTCTGGTCTGTCCTATCTTGTATCATTTGTCTGGTCTGGTCTGTCCTATCTTGTATCATTTGTCTGGTCTGGTCTGTCCTATCTTGTATCATTTGTCTGGTCTGGTCTGTCCTATCTTGTATCATTTGTCTGGTCTGGTCTGTCCTATCTTGTATCATTTGTCTGGTCTGGTCTGTCCTATCTTGTATCATTTGTCTGGCCTGGTCTGTCCTATCTTGTATCATTTGTCTGGCCTGGTCTGTCCTATCTTGTATCATTTGTCTGGCCTGGTCTGTCCTATCTTGTATCATTTGTCTGGCCTGGTCTGTCCTATCTTGTATCATTTGTCTGGTCTGGTCTGTCCTATCTTGTATCATTTGTCTGGTCTGGTCTGTCCTATCTTGTATCATTTGTCTGGTCTGGTCTGTCCTATCTTGTATCATTTGTCTGGTCTGGTCTGTCCTATCTTGTATCATTTGTCTGGTCCGGTCTGTCCTATCTTGTATCATTTGTCTGGTCTGGTCCGTCCTATCTTGTATCATTTGTCTGGTCTGGTCTGTCCTATCTTGTATCATTTGTCTGGTTTGGTCTCAATGGCCTGGCTCAGCTTGGTTTCATTGGTTTAGTCCAGAATTTTGATCTGGTGTGCCCATTGAACTAGTCAAACTGGTATGGTGTGAACTTTCAGTCTGGTAACAAGTTTACAGCATTATTTTTACATATCAGTTTTTTTATCTATAATTAGGGGATGGTATGCATGACTTTATGTGTATACTGGAGATTAGATAATTAAATTTTGTTTCAGTGAAAACGACAAAATTCATGATCTGATCTCCAGTAGATGATTAACAACAAGCATACTCTCCCCATTCTTATATAACCTGGGCCAAAAAGTGATGTAAATATTGTAAAATCAATGAAATTCAACAAAAACTAAAATCTGGGAAATTTCGTTCCTCCTATTGTCTTAGCCAATCAAAATGCTCCTTCAAGTCAAGTTGGTTAAATGTTTCTCTGGGTGTATTATCTAAATCGTTGTCTTATTGATTCCTAGTGTCCCCAAATTTGTCAAACATATTTCTATCCATATCTATTCACTGAGACAGATCCATAAAACATCAGACATCGTAAAGAGACTCATCAGAATTGTCAGTGCATTTCTTTCATATGGAGATCGGGATTTAAGCATCTTTCTGTACAGAATTAGCCAGTAAAGGTAGGAGACAATATCTAGTGACCTCGGATTTTATTTAGTTGTGATATTACAATAGAAATTAATCTCTGCATTAACAAAGTCACCTTCTCTTTCATCGACGTTACCACCAAACTCACTTTAAGCAAAAAAAAAGTGAATCAGATTGCATAACAAAGATTATCATCATCATACAAATTACTCTAAACTTCATGCTTTGATGACACTCTTAAATATATCATAAATTCCTCCAATTAAATTTCTCCAACTGGTTTCTAAATTATGGAATATGTATAGCTGTGTAAAATATATGTATAAATATACAATAAATACATGTAGCTAATTTACTGGAGAAAAAGAGAGCTTTGCTGATGGTGTTTTACCAATCATTAATGTGGCATTCTTTATCTGTGACATCTAATGCTGTGTTAAATTGATACCACACCAGAAGAATGGTAACTAACTTCTGTTCATTGACCAGTTAGTCTGTGACACTCTCATTTGTCGAAAGTGTATACATACATATGTTTGTTATTTCAAATATAAAACTAGTCACAAAAACTAAACATTTTACACATTAGTTGTACTATATGAAATCTGACTTTTCATTCCATCCATGGTCTTTACTGTGGCATACTTTACATCCCATGCATGGTCTTTACTGTGGCATACTTTACATCCCATGCATGGTCTTTACTGTGGCCAACTTTACATCCCATGCATGGTCTTTACTGTGGTCATCTTTATATCCCATGCATGGTCTTTACTGTGGCCAACTTTACATCCCATGCATGGTCTTTACTGTGGCCAACTTTACATCCCATGCATGGTCTTTACTGTGGCCAACTTTACATCCCATGCATGGTCTTTACTGTGGCCAACTTTACATCCCATGTATGGTCTTTACTATGGTCATCTTTATATCCCATGCATGGTCTTTACTGTGGCCAACTTTACATCCCATGCATGGTCTTTACTGTGGTCATCTTTATATCCCATCCATGGTCTTTACTGTGGCCATCTTTACATCCCATGTATGGTCTTTACTATGGTCATCTTTATATCCCATGCATGGTCTTTACTGTGGCCAACTTTACATCCCATGTATGGTCTTTACTGTGGTCATCTTTATATCCCATGCATGGTCTTTACTGTGGCCAATTTTACATCCCATGTATGGTCTTTACTGTGGTCATCTTTATATCCCATGCATGGTCTTTACTGTGGCCAACTTTACATCCCATGTATGGTCTTTACTGTGGTCATCTTTACATCCCATGTATGGTCTTTACTGTGGCCAACTTTACATCCCATGTATGGTCTTTACTGTGGCCAACTTTACATCCCATGTATGGTCTTTACTGTGGCCAACTTTACATCCCATGTATGGTCTTTACTGTGGCCAACTTTACATCCCATGCATGGTCTTTACTGTGATCATCTTTGCATCCCATGTATGGTCTTTACTGTGGTCATCTTTATATCCCATGTATGGTCTTTACTGTGGTCATCTTTATATCCCATGCATGGTCTTTACTATGGCCAACTTTACATCCCATCCATGGTCTTTACTGTGGCCAACTTTACATCCAATCTATGGTCTTCAGAACAATACCAGTAACATTAAATCTATCTTAAGACATTGGGTAATCGTAAAATCTACTGGTGTGAAAAATGGGTAACAGTAGGGCAGTCAGAACCTGTTTGTAATGGTCTGATTCATTGATCATTAATAATGACATATACAGTCCACAAGTATTGCACTGATACTTTTAATAATGACAGTTTATATTTACATCAGAGACAATACATTTACAATCATATATGCACATCAAGTTTTCTGAAGCCACATATTAACAGCCATATTCACTTCAAGTTGTTAGGGGCAACATATTTACAGCCAAGTACATATAAGGTTGTCAGAAGCAACTCATTTACAGCCATCTTCACTTCTGGTTGCCAGGGGCAACATATTTAAAGGCATATCACATCAGGTTTTCAGAGGTAACACATTTACAGCCATATTCACTTCAAGTTGTTAGGGGCAACCCATTCACTGGCATATCCACATCAGTTTTTCAGAGGCCACACATTTACAGCCATATACACATCAGGTTGTTAGAGGCCACACATTTACAGCCATATACACATCAGGTTGTCAGAGGCCACACAGTTACAGCCATATACACATTAGTTTTTCAGAGGTAACACATTTACAGCCATATACACATCAGGTTGTTAGAGGCCACACATTTACAGCCATATACACATCAGGTTGTCAGAGGCCACACATTTACAGCCATATACACATCAGTTTTTCAGAGGTAACACATTTACAGACATATACACATCAGGTTTTCAGAGGTAACACATTTACAGCCATATACACATCAGGTTGTCAGAGGCCACACATTTACAGCCATATACACATCAGGTTGTCAGAGGCCACACATTTACAGCCATATACACATCAGGTTGTCAGAGGCCACACATTTACAGCCATATACACATAATTTTTCAGAGGTAACACATTTACAGCCATATACACATCAGGTTTTCAGAGGTAACACATTTACAGCCATATACACATCATTTTTCAGAGGTAACACATTTACAGCCATATACACATCAGGTTTTCAGAGGTAACACATTTACAGCCATATACACATAATTTTTCAGAGGTAACACATTTACAGCCATATACACATCAGGTTTTCAGAGGTAACACATTTACAGCCATATACACATCAGGTAACACATTTACAGCCATATACACATAATTTTTCAGAGGCCACACATTTACAGCCATATACACATCAGGTTTTCAGAGGTAACACATTTACAGCCATATACACATCAGGTTGTCAGAGGCCACACATTTACAGCCATATAAACATCAGGTTTTCAGAGGCCACACATTTACAGCCATATACACATCAGGTTGTCAGAGGCCACACATTTACAGCCATATACACATCATTTTTCAGAGGTAACACATTTACAGCCATATACACATCAGGTTTTCAGAGGCCACACATTTACAGCCATATACACATCAGGTTTTCAGAGGCCACACATTTACAGCCATATACACATCAGGTTGTTAGAGGCCACACATTTACAGCCATATACACATCAGTTTTTCAGAGGCCACACATTTACAGCCATATACACATCAGGTTGTCAGAGGCCACACATTTACAGCCATATACACATCATTTTTCAGAGGTAACACATTTACAGCCATATACACATCAGGTTGTCAGAGGCCACACATTTACAGCCATATACACATCAGGTTGTCAGAGGCCACACATTTACAGCCATATACACATCAGGTTTTCAGAGGTAACACATTTACAGCCATATACACATCAGGTTGTCAGAGGCCACACATTTACAGCCATATACACATCAGGTTGTTAGAGGCCACACATTTACAGCCATACACACAGATCATTATATATATCTATCAGTGCATACACAGCTTCACTTATACACATACATTACTAGTAATTTGCATATCAAATATTACATGTACAATAACACAACCATAGAAATAGAAATGTCTATATTTTAAATCTTATCCATCCTTCTGTCTTACTTTAGTTGCTCTATCTCTACATTTACCAAACTTTAAACAAGAGACTCATTAAGCCTGCATCACTTCCTGGTATTGATTCCCTGTGACCTTGATCCTAGGAACCTAGGAACCAAATTTCATGATTGAAGGACTTGATTTGTCGCAAGAAGTCATTTCAATATTTCAACAAACCTGACACCTGTAGATATGGGTCATTGGATGATTTGACGTTATAGTGTTAATCAGAACTAAATCTGTCACATGGTGCATGAGCTTAAAAACGATGAACTTTGACCTTCAACCTTGACCAATGACCATCAAAATCTAATCAGGTATAGAACTTGATGGTGTGATGTTATGTTGTGATTATGAACTAAATCTATTATGGGATTTGTGAGATATCTTTCACACAACTTTGAATACACAGATGTAACAGAAAGGATAAACTTATATTGAGTTGGACAAGATCTAAAGTAAGACAATTTCTGTGATGTTTTACACACGTTTTAATTCGCACTTCCCTATATTGTCCCATACATATTGGTAAAAGGACACCTGAACCTAGAATTATCTGTCTGTAGCCCAATTCTGTTTTTCTAGTGTTTTCAGGCATGTGATGAAAGAAATCCCATCAATAAGAAAATTTTAGAGGATCAATGGGATTTTTTGTTTAATGTAATGGCACAACAAATCTAGCAACACTCAATTACTGAAAAAAATGTTAAAATGGAATATTGATGTTAATCTGTCTTTGCTTTGATATTTTAGAAGATATTTTTCTTGGGAACTCACTATTCAAGGTTAAATGATAGATCCTGAATCAATCTAGAGTAAGACACTTAGAAACTAATTTAGTGAACTTGAAAATGTAAGTATTCCATAAGGACAGTTGAAAACTTATGACTGATTTTTTTTTAGAGTTTTAAGATCTAAATCATACCAGAAAGATTTTGGTGTCCACTGGGAGGTGAAAGTTGCCCAACTCATGGTCAGTTTACACTATAGAACACATTTCAGAGAACAATTTTTGGGCATTCTTGAGGTTAAAACATTTGAAACTTGAATTTTATCTACATGTTTTACATAAAGATTAGACAAGGTACACTAGTAAATATGTAGTTTTCTTTGACTGAAGTAAAACAAAAATGTTGGTGTGGTATCAGGACAATAAGGTAACACAAAGCAGACAAGACATTTTCATTAAAAACTGAAGTTTATAAACAAAATAATTATCACAGCAAAGGTAACATTTAATGTTTAGCATACAAAAATAGACACAAAATTATCTCAATTTATTCTGACTTTAGGCCAACAAAAATAATTCACAGTTTATCAAGAAAGAAAGATAATGTATAATGTAGCTGAAAACAAGAGACCCAAGGTGCCTGAATGTTCACCTGAGTTACAATGCTGTTCTTGTAACATGTCACATAATCCTGTTAATAAAGTAAAACAACCTGAACTACACTGTACATGTAATACAAATGTAAAATGTATGTAACATTAACTGCCGTCCCATGATAAGACTTCTAACCATGTTTAAATTAAAAGAAATTACACTCAATTGCTATACCTCTTTCATCCATGATGAGTATTTAATACTAAGGGATACCTTGGGATAAAAAACAAGTGAACAGTGACTCACTCTTTTTTAACCATAAAACATATCCTTGAAAATTTCTCTATTCAAACATGAAGTCTTAAGCAAAGATAAATATTAGATGATCAAATAAAAAATTGAAGCAATTTTTCAAAATTTTCATTTTCTTGTTGCTAGGCAGTTTTCAGCTTGTTAAATTGAATGAGGTTTAGCATTTCCACATTATTTTTATCATATTATCCAAGTATCAAACTATAAGCTTTTAATGAAGATTAAAGTGTTTTTTAAAAAAGGTTGCTGGAAACGTTACTAAGAACAAGAAGCCCAAGGAGCCTGCGTCACTCATCTGACTAATTCAGCTGTTTAATAATTTCATCTGACTAATTCAGCTGTTTAATAATTTCATCTGACTAATTCAGCTGTTTATCATTTAATAATTTCCCTATTAGGTCCCTGCCTTTTGATCAAACAGAATCAGATTCAATATTCATAAAAATTGCTTCAGACCAAATTTGGACAATATCCTTATATGGAAGAAGGATTTATAAGAATTTACATTTCCCCAATTGAGTCACTTCACCCAAGAATGCTTTACACTAAATTCTGGAAAAATCCAATCATTCCTACGGGAGGAGTAAAATTTTCAAGAATTCCAAGCAGGCAAAGACCCATTGTAAATACATAAAACATAAAATTGATTTTTCCTCTGACCAAGTTTGACAAAATCTAATAATTCCAAAAGAAAGTGTAACATTTTTAATAACTTACTCTATTTCCCCTATTGGGCCCCAACCTTCCTGCTCTTAGAGACAGAGACCTATTGTTAAACAAGATTGAATCCCCTTCACCCAAGAGTGCTTTAGATAAAATTTTGGCAATATCCATTCATTCCTACAGTAGGAGTAGATTTAAGCCCTTCAGGCTAATGGGTCCAAGAACCAAAAGTTAAACAACTTTAATTCCTCTTTCCCAAAGATGCTTCTAACCAAATTTGGTCAAATCTGTTCTGTTATTTATGACTAGTATGGCTCTGAATGCTGGAACATGGCATAAGGTCCCCGGTCCTTCGGATCAATTGAATTAAACAAAAATAAAGAATAATATCTGATAAAAGGCCCTTAGGGTCTGTATAGCTTACTTGATTTAATTTGTATGAATTGAACTAAATGAAAAGCAATAAAAGATTGTTATCTTTATTTCCTCTATTAGGCTCTGCCTCTCTGCTCCACAGGGATCATTCAATCTCATTCAATATTTGTACCAAGAATCAACACTCTGCGATGTACAAAACAATGATTCCTTTTTAAACTTCTGAGGAATGTCAGATTAGTGTATGGTGATGGGAACATCAGACGGCTGTTCTTCAAACTCTCATTAGGAATGTCTGCATACCATCTATCACAATTTGAATATCTATGAGATCTTCCTTTGTCACTTCTCCAGTGGATTCACTTTTGGGTCTTTACAGCAGAAATAGTGGACGACCATCCCACTGGGGTATCGAGCAAATGCACTGAAATGACACACATCAATCAGTTGTAAGAAACAAGGTGTCTTTTGTTGGCTGTGATATCATTGTTAAGTAATTTTGAATTACCATTGACCTTTAACCTTCATTAATGGAAAGTTTGCATTATATCCTAGAAAGAGAATCCCAGAGGGATCTTGGCATCCACCATTGTTTGATCTTTATTTTTCTTTAAAAATTTGATCTTTTCACCTCTTTCCTCATCATCTCACCATTTTTCTCTAACGGCACAAAATTTGAATATTCCTTTGCAGAATCAGCAATAAAAATCTTCAACTGCTAAATCCAAGATAGTTGCCTGTCAGTCATTTTGTTTTTCTAATCACTCCCAAAATCAAACAGGCACAACAAGGGAACAAAGGGAGTCTACTCATGAAATTTGAGAGAGATCCATTCAGTACTTTTTGAGAAATAGAAACTACAAATTTTACTAGACGAAACACAAGATAACCAGCAGTTTTGTCTCTCTGATCAGTCTCACAATCATATGGGCACAACTAGGGACCAAGGAGAACCTCTATAAAGAATTTGAGAAAGTTCCATCCGATACTTCTCAAGAAATAGAGATAACAATCTGTTAAAATCCAAGATGGCTTCCTGTCAGCGATTTTGTCCTTATGAACTGTCGTAAATTCAAACGGGTACAACTAAGGACTGAGTGAAACCTACACATGATTTTTAAGACAGATCCATTCTGTAATTTTCAAGAAATAGCAATAACAAACTTAACTATGCAATTTCCATGATGGCCTCCTGTTTGCCATTTTGATTTTTTTAAGATCAGTCCCAAGATTTACTGGACATGACTAAGGACCAAAGGGGACCTACAAATAAAAATTTGAGAGAGATCCATGCAGAACTTCTAAAGAAATAGTGACAACAAATTTTCTTTTTCAAAACTGATGATGACCACATGTCAGGCATTTTGTTTTCCTAATCAGTCTGGAAATCAAATGGGCACAACTGGTGACCTAGGAAAAGCTCCATATGAAATTTGAGAGATCTATTTAGTACTTCTCAAGAAATAGCGATAACAATTTTCATTGTAACAAGAGGCCTATAGGGTCATTATAGCTGATCTGGCAAAACTGATTCTTTTTCATCCAAGAATGCTTTGGACAAAATTTGGTCAAAATCAAATCAGAAGGAGTAGGATTTTCAAAGTTTATACATTGATTTTGCTTTACCTAACAATGCTGCAGAGTCGATTCATGAAACATAAAATCCTTCCTACAGGAGGGATAGGATTTTATAGAATTTCCTCTATTTCCCCTATTGGTCCTGACCCTCTATTCTACCGGGACCGAGACTCACTGTGTTTACAAAATTGATTCCCCTTCCTCCAAGGATGAACAAATCTGGTTAAAATCCTGTCAGCCATTTATGACTAGTATTGATTTTTAGGAAAAAAGTTGGAAAATGGATGGACAACCATTCTTAGATCTTTACTTCTTGATTAAAAATGGCTCTTTTCCATTTTCTCCACTGTTTTTATTTTTAATGATACAAAATATGAAAATTCCATTTCAGAAATAGCGCAAAAAAAAAAAATTAACTGCTAAATTCAAGATAGTTGCCTGTCAGCCATTTTGAGTTTTTGTTTAGACCCGAAATCAAACGGGCTCAACTAGGGACCAAAGGGAACTTATATATGAAATTTGAGAAAGATCCATCTGGTACTATCAAAGAAATAGCGATAACAAAAATTGTTTATGGACAGACCGACACGCAGAAAACAGACCACAGACTTAAATAACTCACCATATGATGATAGTACTGGTTCATGAATCCGTTAACTAAAACTTGCCCCGAGAATGACACTGAATGTGACCTTGACTGACACAATAACCTTGACTATACACATACAGCCTTCCTGGTGTAAATCAGGAAAATTCCCGACAAAATGTAATCCCCAACAATTATCTTGTACATCAAATCAAGTTAAAAATATGGCAAATATATGTGTGTCCCACATTAAACTGCCTAGAAGTGCCTCATAAATAGAAACAGAGGTTACACTTCAAAAGAGCCCCTAGTGGCCATCTTAAATATCAGCTCAAGTAAGACACAACAGGATAATTAATAAGTTACCTGTTTCCGATTCTCTTCTTGCAAACTTTACACATCTTCTCATCGTTGATAACAACTTTGTGTTTATGATAAAACATTATTTGTTCATGAACCTGAAAAAAACCAACAGGATATAAGTTTTTTTTACGTAACTGAAATGGGAATCAATATCACAGCACTTTATCTAGCCAGAACAAGTACTACCTTCCAAAATATTCTAGAGTGTCCAGTATCTGAATACTGTTTTCAATGGCTTTAGAAACAAGAAAACAATTATCTAGTTGTTGACAGAACTCTGTTCACGGTTTTGAGAATAAACAGAATTCCCAGTCTACATTTACAGTCTAAGCCACGTTATAATGCCCCCTTTTGTCTATGGCATTTTAATGAGGTAGGCCATATTATTATTTCACAATTACGGCTATGAAACAGAAAACTAAACTCAAATTTAATCATTCATTTACAGTAAAAATCAATTAGACAAAAACTTGTCCCTGATTTCATAGACTCCTTATTACAATGTATTTCTTTCAAGCAAATAATCAACACAAAAGTTGATTAACAGTATATATCAATTTTATGGAAACTGATCCACTTTTATATTTCACTGTATATTATAATAAGACACAAGAAATCTTAGATCAAGGCTAATGCATCTTCTCTTCCTGAAAACAAAACAAAACAGGGTACTGCAGGACAGAACATTACACATCCATCCCGTACTGAAAATATATTCATGACTTATTGTATCCAAAAGAATAGCTATATGGAAATGGTGATAATGAGTTAAAGTGTCAAGAGACAGAACAGTGTTATAGGATTTGATGCTGTATAAAAAGCACGCCAAGTTTCTGCCTAGTTTCAGAGAAATTTCTGAATCAAGAGGCCCAATAGGCCTGGATATCTCACCTGGCTAATTAAACTATTCAGCCATTTAATTAAGAATTTCAAATATGACAAATAAGTTCTGATCAAATTTCTCTATTGGGTTCTGGTCTTGTGGTCAGATTGAAGTCAGATTCACTATTCTTAAAAATTGCTTCTGATCAAACTTGTGCAATATCTCTGTATGGGAGAAGGGTTTTTAAGAACTTACATTTCCTGAATTGGGCCCCACTCCTCCCACCCCAAGGAGCCAGGATGGACCATTTATACAGGACTGATTCCCCTTCACCCAAGAATGCTTCAGACCAAATTTGGGCAACAGTCATTCATTCCTACGGGAAGAGCTGGATATTACAGAATTTACATTATTGTCCTTATTGAGCCCCACCCCTCCCGCCCCAAGGAGCAGAGCCTATTGTCTATACAAGATTAATTCTCCTTCACCCAATAATCATTCATTCTCGCAGGGGTAGGATTTTAAAGAACTTGTATCATAACATTTCTTTGATGTCCCTAACTATATAAATTATTTTAAGATATTTTATAATACCAGGTACATGTTTTTAGTATAATATTTATTAGTCATGATGCGACTATATGCATGCATAACATCGTTTCGAAAGATGGCATCATTATCTATGGCACACGACTGCCACCAGAGGTCTTAGGTAACTCAATGGGCAATTTGAACCACGCAGAAAGCTAGGATTTGTAGTAACATCTATTTCTAGGCTGTGACAATAGGCTGAAACTGCATGGTTACATACATCCTAAAGTCTTGTTGTTTTACAATGGTTATATATGTCATTAAGTCCCTTTGTTATAGTACCGTAACATACATCCTGAAGTCCCCTGTTATAGTACAGTATCATACACCCTTAAATCCCCTTGTTACAGTATGGTAACATACATCCTTAAGTCCTCTTTATTATTGTACTATAACATACATCCTTAAGTCCCCTTGTTACAGTATGAAAACATACATCCTTAGTCCTCTTTGTTATAGTACAGTATCATACACTCTTAAGTCCCCTTGTTACAGAATGGTAACATACATCCTTAAGTCCTCTTTGTTATAGTACAGTATCATACACCCTTAAGTCCCCTTGTTATAGTATGGTAACATACATCCTTAAGTCTCCTCATTACATTATGCAGCATCATCCTCAAGCTATAATGTAGGTAATTCAAGTCAGAGGAAGAAAGTTTATGTAGAGCAAATCTTTTCTCTTTTAGGGAGGGAGCTTACTTGAGAGCAAATTTGAAACATGGAAACATACCTGGTACTTACCTGTAAATTTGATACATGGAAACATACCTGGTACTTACCTGTAAATTTGATACATGGAAACATACCTGGTACTTACCTGTAAATTTTCAGCATAAAACATACTTTTGAGGACCTGATTCTTCCTGCGTACTGTTGCCTGGTGTTCCATCACACTTTCAAGATAATTTAAAATTTCTTCAATCTTAGTTGCAGCAGGCAACATCTCCAGGGCCTGAAAAGGAAGTGATGAGACAAAAGAACATAAAACCATACTCCTTAAAAACAAATCCAAATATGGAATTAATGTCATTAAGTCTATGAATGTGTCTAATTTAGAGTAGTAGTCCTTCACAGAGTTAACATCTGAGGCTCCTTTTAAGTAAATTGTTGTCCTTTAGTAACAGTGTAGATACGGTAGTTCCCTGGTAAACTCTCAACAATCACCTTTACTTTGTTTTATATTGTCATGGATGTGAAATTTATCAACATGATGTACTGGTATTTGTCTTGCTACTTACCTTAGTTGAGTCAATTTTGGAGGCATGCTCTTTCATAAGTCGTAGAGCAGCCTCCATACTAGGTTTCGGTGTAAAGCCCTGACCTGCAGAGATCCCAAGGGCTGAAGAGGATGGTGGCTGTAAGTACATCTTTAATAGATCCAGGTACACCTGTGAGTAGAGGTAAAACATCACAGATTGTACAATGGAAAACACTTCCATTTGTCAGAGGAAATATGATAATAAGTGAAATATGATATGAACAGCTGTGGTGTTTTTTTGAATTTCTAAAGTGACTTGTTTCTTACAAAAATTGTTTGGAGACCAAAATTTGTAATCTTATTTGTTTTCCCCCACAGCTATTTTCATATTCTATGAACCAGATGAATTATTATCCATTTAAATATCTAACCTGCTGTCAAAAATTGTCATGAATGAACATATGTCATGTTAACAGTTTATACGTCGTCAAATTCAGCATGGTTACCAGCTTGTTCAGTGTGGTTACACACTTGTTTTCCATGGTTACCAGCTTCTTCAGTGTGGTTACACACTTGTTTTCCATGGTTACCAGCTTGTTCGGTGTGGTTACACACTTGTTTTCCATGGTTACCACCTTGTTTGGTGTGGTTACACACTTGATTTCCATGGTTACCCTATGTTAGCTTTTAACTATATCTAACATCATACCTAGAATTAAGATTCTGTTGGGTCTTCATTAAGAAACTGTAATGGAAGAAAGGATTTACTCACATCTTTATTTTCTTCTCTATTTCTTTCAAAGTATTCCTGGCAATACCTAAAGGAAAGATCACTCATATTTAGTCAGATTATATTCCAGTTCAATAACAGAATCAACAATCAGAGCAATGTATCATATAGTTAGGAAGAACAAAAATCATTCAATGGACAACAAAGAAATCAGACTTTTCTACAAGAGATCATAGAGGGATCTTGGCATCCATCATCTTTTTGAAAGTTGGATCTTTTCCCTTCTTTTCTCCTTTGTTTTTACTCTTTAAGACAAGAAATTTGAACATTCCTTTGCAGAAATATCAATAATAGTCTTTAACCGCCAAATTCAAGATGGTCACCGGTAGGCCATTTTGTTTTTCTGATCAGTCCCAAAATCAAATGAGCATAACTAGGGACCAAGGGAAACCTTTATATGAAATTTGAAAGAGATCCATCCAGTACTTCTTAAAAAATAACAAAAACAAAAATTGTTTATGGACAGATGGGCCATGAACAATTTAAAATAGGGGGAAAAAAATAAATAAAAGAAAAAATAAAGCAAACAAAACATTTTGATACTAATTACAATTTTCCTCAATAGAAATCTAGACAATATAAACTGGTCATGTCTAAAGAGTTGGAATCACTACTATTAAGACACAAAACAGAAGGAATCAAGGCAACAATACCTTTCAGCAGCAGATGTATCCCGAAGTATATGAACGTAGATACCGAGGGCCAGCTCGTGCCTTCCCAGCCTCCCTAGCAGGATCGCTCGCTCCTCATAGAAACCTATATTATCCAGTAACAGAACTTATTATTTCATAATTTAACATTAAAGTTACATTTCACAGACTGTTTTGTTATTTTTCATGGTTTCACTTATTTGTGTCAGACCTAATCCCCGATTTAAAATAAGTGTCTGCAGACATATCAAAACTGTATTTTACTGTTCACTTATGGTTCCTGTGAATGTTATTATTGTTGTGTACGTACTGTCCAGTGGGAACCGTGTCAGCAGCCTCTCAGGAACATAGTCATGAGACACTTGTAAGAAATGGATCAACTTTCTGCGGTACTCTCCGAGTTCCCCCTGTTCCTGCCCAGCCTTACTTGGCAGGTGTCCTGTTGACATAAGAACAAATCATATAGACTATTTTATTCAACATTCATAAAATATCTTTGTCTAAGGACTGTACATTTGGCAGGGTCACTATCATATAAAATATCTCTGTCCACAGACAGTACATTTGGCAGGGTCACTATCATATAAAATATCTCTGTCTACTGACAGTACACATGATCAGATCACTATCACATAAAATATCTCTGTCTACAGACAGTACATATGGCAGGATCACTATCATATAAAATATCTCTGTCTACTGACAGTACATATGGCAGGATCACTATCATATAAAATATCTCTGTCCACAGACAGTACATATGATCAGATCACTATCATATAAAATATCTCTGTCTACAGACAGTACATATGGCAGGATCACTATCATATAAAATATCTCTGATCACTATCATATAAAATATCTCTGTCTACAGACAGTACATATGGCAGGGTCACTATCATATAAAATATCTCTGTCCACAGACAGTACATATGGCAGGGTCACTATCATATAAAATATCTCTGTCCACAGACAGTACACATGATCAGATCACTATCATATAAAATATCTCTGTCCACAGACAGTACATATGATCAGATCACTATCATATAAAATATCTCTGTCCACAGACAGTACATATGGCAGGGTCACTATCATATAAAATATCTCTGTCCACAGACAGTACATATGATCAGATCACTATCATATAAAATATCTCTCAGGTCACTATCATATAAAATATCTCTGTCCACAGACAGTACATATGATCAGATCACTATCATATAAAATATCTCTGTCCACAGACAGTACATATGATCAGATCACTATCATATAAAATATCTCTGTCTACAGACAGTACATATGGCAGGATCACTATCATATAAAATATCTCTGTCCACAGACAGTACATATGGCAGGATCACTATTATATAAAATATCTCTGTCCACAGACAGTACATATGGCAGGATCACTATTATATAAAATATCTCTGTCTACAGACAGTACATATGGCAGGATCACTATTATATAAAATATCTCTGTCCACAGACAGTTCATATGGCAGGATCACTATTATATAAAATATCTCTGTCCACAGACAGTACATATGGCAGGATCACTATTATATAAAATATCTCTGTCTACAGACAGTACATATGGCAGGGTCACTATCATATAAAATATCTCCGTCCACAGACAGTACATATGGCAGGATCACTATCATATAAAATATCTCTGTCTACAGACAGTACATATGATCAGATCACTATCATATAAAATATCTCTGTCCACAGACAGTACATATGGCAGGGTCACTATCATATAAAATATCTCTGTCTGTCTACAGACAGTACATATGGCAGGATCACTATTATATAAAATATCTCTGTCTACAGACAGTACATATGGCAGGATCACTATTATATAAAATATCTCTGTCCACAGACAGTACATATGGCAGGGTCACTATCATATAAAATATCTCTGTCCACAGACAGTACATATGGCAGGATCACTATTATATAAAATATCTCTGTCTACAGACAGTACATATGGCAGGATCACTATTATATAAAATATCTCTGTCCACAGACAGTACATATGATCAGATCACTATCATATAAAATATCTCTGTCCACAGACAGTACATATGGCAGGGTCACTATCATATAAAATATCTCTGTCTACAGACAGTACATATGATCAGATCACTATCATATAAAATATCTCTGTCCACAGACAGTACATATGGCAGGATCACTATCATATAAAATATCTCTGTCTACAGACAGTACATATGGCAGGGTCACTATCATATAAAATATCTCTGTCCACAGACAGTACATATGGCAGGATCACTATCATATAAAATATCTCTGTCCACAGACAGTACATATGGCAGGGATCACTATCATATAAAATACTATACATATAAACTATCATATAAAATATCTCTGTCCACAGACAGTACATATGGCAGGGTCACTATCATATAAAATATCTCTGTCCACAGACAGTACATATGGCAGGATCACTATTATATAAAATATCTCTGTCTACAGACAGTACATATGATCAGATCACTATCATATAAAATATCTCTGTCCACAGACAGTACATATGATCAGATCACTATCATATAAAATATCTCTGTCTACTGACAGTACATATGGCAGGGTCACTATTATATAAAATATCTCTGTCTACTGACAGTACATATGGCAGGGTCACTATCATATAAAATATCTCTGTCTACAGACAGTACATATGATCAGATCACTATCATATAAAATATCTCTGTCCACAGACAGTACATATGATCAGATCACTATCATATAAAATATCTCTGTCCACAGACAGTACATATGATCAGATCACTATCATATAAAATATCTCTGTCCACAGACAGTACATATGATCAGATCACTATCATATAAAATATCTCTGTCCACAGACAGTACATATGATCAGATCACTATCATATAAAATATCTCTGTCTACAGACAGTACATATGGCAGGGTCACTATCATATAAAATATCTCTGTCCACAGACAGTACATATGGCAGGGTCACTATCATATAAAATATCTCTGTCTACAGACAGTACATATGGCAGGGTCACTATCATATAAAATATCTCTGTCCACAGACAGTACATATGGCAGGGTCACTATCATATAAAATATCTCTGTCCACAGACTATATGAATGATCAGATCACTGCGAGCTACAGATGAAGTTAAAGCTGGCAGATTTTTTTTCTCTTGATCATTGATGGTCCACATGATGTTTTGAAACGATATCTTGAGTTTTGGATGCCTACCTTCAGGGAGAGACTGGATGTAATCAGTCATCAGTGTCTGAACTTTATCGCGTAGTAGTTGGGCCAGAGAATTGTGGAAGTCTGGACTGTGATCATCACACTCAACAATAACATGTTCCTGTAGTAACAGTCAGTAATGCTTAGTTAACATAAATATAGCATAATAATTAATGTTTGTCATCAGCCTGGCTTTCAATCTTTTACATATGTTTCATGAACATCATATTATATTTGGTAAGGAAATCTTTAAAAAAAAACCATGGATGCCGTTTCACAAATATGAATTGCATCTGAATTTTATCATTTCGGCTGTTGTTTGTTTTTTCCAATATTATTTTTTTGAGTTTTTGTTACATATCTCTCAGATTTGTAAAGACAAGTTAAAGACTAAACGAGCCTCTGAGTATAATGAAGTACATGTCCTATGACCTGTAACTCACTAGATATGGAATGGCTAGGTCTTTGGCAGTTTTCTCCAGGTATTTGAACACTTTATCCCTCGGAAGGCTGTCCACTTCTGGCAAATCTTCAGTAAATATCTGGAATCAACAGATAGCAGTGATCAGCATTCTTTTAGTGGTAACTATACAATTTACATTGGTCTTACCAAACCAGACAGTGATCAATTATTTTAGGACAAGTTTATGAAAATGATAATTAGTTATGAAATGTTAAAAACATGTGAAAACTTACTTTGTGTAATCTTATAACTAAATTTGAAGAAATAATTGCTAACGATAGATATACATATGAGCTTACTTTGAGTCCATCTTCTGGGTGTTGTTTTAAAACCCATTCAGCATACTCAAATATCAAGTCCAGGTGATCTTGTCCTGTGTATCACAGAAACACAACAGTATAACAAAGATTTGTACTCAAATATCTGATCCAGGTGATCTTGTCCTGTGTATCACAGAAACACAACAGTATAACAAAGATTTGTACTCAAATATCTGATCCAGGTGATCTTGTCCTGTGTATCACAGAAACACAACAGTATAACAAAGATTTGTACTCAAATATCTGATCCAGGTGATCTTGTCCTGTGTATCACAGAAACACAACAGTATAACAAAGATTTGTACTCAAATATCTGATCCAGGTGATCTTGTCCTGTGTATCACAGAAACACAACAGTATAACTAAGATTTGTACTCAAATATCTGATCCAGGTGATCTTGTCCTGTGTATCACAGAAACACAACAGTATAACTAAGATTTGTACTCAAATATCTGATCCAGGTGATCTTGTCCTGTGTATCACAGAAACACAACAGTATAACTAAGATTTGTACTCAAATATCTGATCCAGGTGATCTTGTCCTGTGTATCACAGAAACACAACAGTATAACAAAGATTTGTACTCAAATATCTGATCCAGGTGATCTTGTACTGTGTATCACAGAAACACAACAGTATAACTAAGATTTGTACTCAAATATCTGATCCAGGTGATCTTGTACTGTGTATCACAGAAACACAACAGTATAACAAAGATTTGTACTCAAATATCTGATCCAGGTGATCTTGTCCTGTGTATCACAGAAACACAACAGTATAACTAAGATTTGTACTCAAATATCTGATCCAGGTGATCTTGTCCTGTGTATCACAGAAACACAACAGTATAACTAAGATTTGTACTCAAATATCTGATCCAGGTGATCTTGTCCTGTGTATCACAGAAACACAACAGTATAACTAAGATTTGTACTCAAATATCTGATCCAAAAATCATTAACATCAAAACATCAAAACTTTCATAATAACAAAGTCAGCCCAACATGGCTCCCAGATTGTTTATAGCCAGGCGGATTGGCAGACCATGGATGATTTGAATAGCCAATAACAATATACACTGGACAAAAACAACTATTAAAACAATGGGGTTGTACCATGAATATGATATACATAATAATCAAATATTGCGGGATAGAAAAAATAAGATAAAAAACACCAGATATGTGACTTTTAAAGAGAAAACCTTAATTATTAATTTTTTGAGCACTGTTATTTCTGATGGGCTAGAAGCAAGAGGCATTCTGCTAAAATGTATCAGAGTTAGATCAAATAATTTGTTATATGAAATGGATGTGATTAATTAGGAGAATTGTTACAAATCAAACAAATTAAAACAACATATAAAACAAGATATAAAACAATATATAAAACAGTATTCAAAACAACGTATAAAACAACATATAAACAACATATAAAACAATGTATAAAACATGTAAAACAACATATAAAACAATATATAAAACAATATAAAAAACAATGTATAAAACATGTAAAACAACATATAAAACAACATATAAAACAATATAAAAAACATAAAAAACAACATAAAAAACAATATATAAAACAATATATAAAACAACATATAAAACAATGTATAAAACAACATATAAAACAATATATAAAACAACATATAAAACAATATATAAAACATATAAAACAATATAAAAAACATAAAAAACAACATATAAAACAATATATAAAACAACATATAAAACATGTAAAACAACATATAAAACAATATATAAAACAACATATAAAACAACATATAAAACAATATATAAAACAACATATAAAACAATATATAAAACAATGTATAAAACAACATATAAAACAATATATAAAACAACATATAAAACAATATATAAAACAACATATAAAACAATATATAAAACAACATATAAAACAATATATAAAACAATGTATAAAACAACATATAAAACAACATATAAAACAACATATAAAACAATATATAAAACAACATATAAAACAACATATAAAACAACATATAAAACAATGTATAAAACAATATATAAAACAACATATAAAACAACATATAAAACAATATATAAAACAACATATAAAACAATATATAAAACAATATATAAAACAATATATAAAACAACATATAAAACAATATATAAAACAATGTATAAAACAACATATAAAACATATAAAACAACATATAAAACAACATATAAAACAACATATAAAACAACATATAAAACAATATATAAAACAACATATAAAACAATATATAAAACAATGTATAAAACAACATATAAAACAATATATAAAACAACATATAAAACAATATATAAAACAACATATAAAACAACATATAAAACAATATATAAAACAACATATAAAACAATATATAAAACAACATATAAAACAATATATAAAACAACATATAAAACAATATATAAAACAATGTATAAAACAACATATAAAACATATAAAACAACATATAAAACAATATATAAAACAATATATAAAACAACGTATAAAACAATATATAAAATAATATATAAAACAACATATAAAACATGTAAAACAACATATAAAACAACATATCAAACAACATATAAAACAACATATAAAAAAAAATAAACAATATATAAAACAGCACATGATGAACCAGCTAACTGGAACACTGCTGAAAAATATCTTCTGAACAAATCAGATGAAAAGGATAAATGTAAACATTTCTTGTTCTTGCACTGAAACATGTGGCCTAGATCTCAACAAGCTGTTACCAAGCATCTGTATTGACAGCTTAAATCTTAGGCGACATTCCTCAGTAAACAACTGACAAATGATAAAATACTGAATCAGCTAATATTCTGTAATATTCAACAGAAAACCACTCTCATTCCTGGAATGTGAAATCAAACAAGTAAAAACTATATGGGATGAAAAAAAAAAGAGATAATTTCATTGAAAGTAATCAGCCAATAGATAGATTGAAAAATTGAAAAACTAGAACACTGTCATATGTGGCTGAACATCTCTCCCCCGACCCCCCCTCCCCTACCTTTAGATACACACCTCAGGCTGACAGGTTAGTGAGGGTGAACATCCCTCCCCAAACTTCAGTTATTCCAAAGTTACTCACCTAAATGTTGTAAATATTGCACAGTGCGGTCATGGCCTTTTAGTGGGGAGCTGGGACGAGCAGCCTGGTTCATCAACAGATTTAGAGCTGTGGAAAAATATCTATATTAATCATACTGTATTTTCCAGCCTATAAGCCAGGGCTTTTTCCCTCATGAGTTGGGTGTGTGGTTTTTTTTCCTCATGAGTTGGGTGTGCAGGTTTTTTCCTCATGAGATGGGTGTGCGACTTACATGTGGACGAAACCAAAAACTTTGGCAGAATGAGGCAAAAAATGTAGTACCAGTACAAGATGCCATAAACTGGTTTTTACAAGCACTACATGTTTGTGACTGAAACAAATCACATAGAACCAACTGCAATCGTATACTAAATGCTTTGAAGATAGCAATCAAATGATATTCCTGTGGAGTTACAGTAATATATTCTTGACTTACGTAGTTTCTTTACAACAGTATGCCTCTAACAGGGACAACAACAAAAATCTTATACATGTGTATACTATTACTATAACCATGGAAAGGTTATTTTGTGTATTTTGCAAGAATTTATAGGATGCTGTGAATGGCCCTGAAGATGTACATATTTAAGTAAATATTTACCAATTATTGAAAATTACTGGGAAAACCCTCTGTGGGTCCGACCACGCCCACTTATACACTGATAAGCTTTGCGTCATGGGCTGAAGAGGTCAAATTCTAAAATGGCCGCCATGTTTGTTTATGATGCCCGCAGCTTTGATGCTGCTTACAAAAATGCATTACCGGATTATAGGAACTTCATCAACATGCAAGTGCCTTCATTAATATTTAACAGTACAGACACTGGTGGAGAGGTTGTAATACTGTATGTAAGTCAGGCCCTACCTGTGCGTTGGCAATCACTGAAGGCCCCAAACAAGTTTGATATTTTATGTTTTTTAAATGACCAGCATTATTTAAAAATAATCCATAAAATAAATTATTATTTGCGCAAAATTCATCGGTCAACTTTATTAAATGTTATACTGACGATCTTGATAAACTGCCTTCCATTATCAGTTACCCATATATCAAACGCCAACAACAGTATTCATTGTTTAAGGGAAAATCTTGACACTGCCGTGCGACTCCAGACACCACACCATGCACCACAATATAAGCTCAGTTAGCCCTTCAGGCCAAGTGAGCTAACGAGTGTGTCACGAACATGAAAATATGGATATAACCAGTCCCTTGAACTTCGAATCATCAAAGTATGGCTATATTATAATCATATTAAGTATATATCTTTTGATGTCACTTACTTCACTAAGTGTTTTAAAATTATGATTGAAAACATTGCCCTCACATGTGATATAAAATATTTAAAGTGCTGCAGGTGATCAAAGAAAAGTAAACAGCTATACAGAGTACAGCACATTCAATATTAAAGTTATACAGAGTACACATGACATAAGATCTTCAGCACAATGCACTGTGTCCTACCTTTCTGGTGAAGTCCTTTCTTCTCATACAGGATGATGAGTTCACTGAACTTCTCTTTACGTTTGAGGATTTTCTCACTTTCTTCCACATGACAATTATTGTCCTTGATTCTTAACAGCGGTGCCACTAGAGCATCATTTGTCTGTAACAAAATATGTTCATACAGTCTGTCAATCAAGCTTAATGTAAATCCCTTTTGAAAAACATGACATATTTAACAATCAAAGAACTGCGATTACCAAAAACCTAAACATGTTGATGATATATAAATTAGTAAGTTTAAATGTGAGATATATTCCATCACATGCAAAACAATCAAATTCTTTTATAGAAGATTAATATCAACAGTCAAATTTGAAATTTTGAACACATTTTCTACCAAATTAGCAAAATTTGTACAAAATTTACAATTCACAGAAACAATTTAAGTTCCAAATCAATAGATTAATACTAAACATTGCATTTTGTTTGGATTTAAAGAAAAAATTGGTGGATTTGAAATGAAAATATTCTTGTTTTTAAGTGTATCCTAAGTTTTTGCTATATTTAGCTATAAAATATTTCATATTATACAATAATTGATCAAGAAAATGAAAATGTTGTTACTTTTTCATGACTGATGTATACATCAAGTTTCAATATTCTACATTGAAATGCAGGCAAAGTAATGCTTTGGACATAATTTTTTTAACGAAGGGAATTAACTCTGTAATTATGGGGTTGCAGGCCCCAACATTATGTCTTTGTATGATCACTGTATACACTAAGTTTAATCATCCTACCTTAAATGCAAGCAAAGCTATGCTCTGGTCAAGATATTTTAAACAAAGGGCACTTACTCTGTAATTGAGGGGTCAAGGGAACTAAATTTGGTACACTGTACATTGTTTTAGTATGATCAATGTATACAATAAGTTGGGGTAAAGTTATGCTCTGGACAAAAAACAAAAACAAAGTGCAATAACTCTACAATTCACTAACTTGACCTTCACCCACTTGTAAGTAACATTTCAGCAGGGTGGTATCTGACCGGACTAACTTGACCTTTCACCTACCTGTAGATAACATTTCAGCAGGGTGGTATCTGACCGGACTAACTTGACCTTTCACCTACCTGTAGATAACATTTCAGCAGAGTGGTATCTGACCGGACTAACTTGACCTTTCACCTACCTGTAGATAACATTTCAGCAGGGTGGTATCAATGATTTGACTGAGTTGACGTTTAGATTTGATGGTTTTGTTGCCCTCCTTGATGGCTGTAGTCTGCACCTCCTTGTTAATGTCCTTGCACACGTCTACCCTTTTCTACAAGAGGCAGGAAAAACAATAAGTCAGTTTCAATGAATACCGCAACATGAACTTCTAACAAACAAGATGTCAATATGACAAACCAGAGATCACAAAGGGATCATATCACGACAGTCATCATTATGACAATATATTTGTTCTTTTCTCCTCTTATTTTCTCTTTTCAATCAATACCAAATAAAAATTCACTGAACAAGGAATAAAAGATCCATACAAAACTGCAAAAAGTAATAATAACTTGTACCTCTATTATAACAGCTTTTATTCTATTATAACCTGTAACTCTATTATAACAGCTTCTATTCTATTCTAACCTGTACCTCTATTATAACATCTTCTATTCTATTATAACCTGTAACTCTATTATAACAGCTTCTATTCTATTCTAACCTGTACCTCTATTATAACAGCTTCTATTCTTACCTGTACCTCTATTATAACAGCTTCTATTCTAACCTGTACCTCTATTATAACAGCTTCTATTCTAACCTGTACCTCTATTATAACAGCTTCTATTCTTACCTGTACCTCTATTATAACAGCTTCTATTCTTACCTGTACCTCTATTATAACAGCTTCTATTCTTACCTGTACCTCTATTATAACAGCTTCTATTCTAACCTGTACCTCTATTATAACAGCTTCTATTCTAACCTGTACCTCTATTATAACAGCTTCTATTCTAACCTGTACCTCTATTATAACAGCTTCTATTCTATTCTAACCTGTACCTCTATTATAACAGCTTAACCTGTACCTCTATTATAACAGCTTCTATTCTTAACCTGTACCTCTATTATAACACCTGTAACAGCTTCTATTGTACCTCTATTATAACAGCTATTTTAACCTGTTCTATTATACCTGTACCTCTATTATAACAGCTTCTATTCTTAACCTGTACCTCTATTATAACAGCTTCTATTCTTACCTGTACCTCTATTATTTCAGCTTCTATTCTTACCTGTACCTCTATTATAACAGCTTCTATTCTTACCTGTACCTCTATTATAACAGCTTCTATTCTTACCTGTACCTCTATTATAACAGCTTCTATTCTAACCTGTACCTCTATTATAACAGCTTCTATTCTTACCTGTACCTCTATTATAACAGCTTCTATTCTTACCTGTACCTCTATTATAACAGCTTCTATTCTTACCTGTACCTCTATTATAACAGCTTCTATTCTAACCTGTACCTCTATTATAACAGCTTCTATTCTAACCTGTACCTCTATTATAACAGCTTCTATTCTTACCTGTACCTCTATTATAACAGCTTCTATTCTAACCTGTACCTCTATTATAACAGCTTCTATTCTTACCTGTACCTCTATTATAACAGCTTCTATTCTTACCTGTACCTCTATTATAACAGCTTCTATTCTAACCTGTACCTCTATTATAACAGCTTCTATTCTAACCTTTACCTCTATTATAACAGCTACCTGTTCTATTCTAACCTGTACCTCTATTATAACAGCTTCTATTCTTACCTGTTCTATTATAACAGCTTCTATTCTAACCTGTACCTCTATTATAACAGCTTCTATTCTAACCTGTACCTCTATTATAACAGCTTCTATTCTAACCTGTACCTCTATTATAACAGCTTCTATTCTAACCTGTACCTCTATTATAACACTATAACAGCTTCTATCTAACCTGTACCTCTATTATAACAGCTATTCTAACCTGTACCTCTATTATAACAGCTTTATAACATTCTATTCTAACCTGTACCTCTATTATAACAGCTTTATTCTATTCTAACCTGTACCTCTATTATAACAGCTTCTATTCTATTCTAACCTGTACCTCTATTATAACAGCTATTCTATTCTAACCTGTACCTCTATTATAACAGCTTCTATTCTATTCTACCTGTACCTCTATTATAACAGTAACCTGTACCTCTATTATAACAGCTTCTATTCTATTATAACCTGTACCTCTATTATAACAGCTTTTATTCTATTATAACCTGTACCTCTATTATAACAGCTTTTATTCTATTCTAACCTGTACCTCTATTATAACAGCTTATATTCTATTCTAACCTGTACCTCTATTATAACAGCTTCTATTCTATTCTAACCTGTACCTCTATTATAACAGCTTCTATTCTATTCTAACCTGTACCTCTATTATAACAGCTTCTATTCTATTATTCTATTATAACCTGTACCTCTATTATAACACCTGTAACCTCTATTATAACAGCTTCTATTCTATTCTAACCTGTACCTCTATTATAACAGCTTCTATTCTATTCTAACCTGTAACTCTATTATAACAGCTTCTATTCTAACCTGTACCTCTATTATAACAGCTTCTATTCTATTCTAACCTGTAACTCTATTATAACAGCTTCTATTCTATTCTAACCTGTACCTCTATTATAACAGCTTCTATTCTATTCTAACCTGTACCTCTATTATAACAGCTTCTATTCTATTCTAACCTGTAACAGCTTCTTCTATTCTAACCTGTACCTCTATTATAACAGCTTCTATTCTATTCTAACCTGTACCTCTATTATAACAGCTTCTATTCTATTCTAACCTGTACCTCTATTATAACAGCTTCTATTCTATTCTAACCTGTACCTCTATTATAACAGCTTCTATTCTAACCTGTACCTCTATTATAACAGCTTCTATTCTAACCTGTACCTCTATTATAACAGCTTCTATTCTATTCTAACCTGTACCTCTATTATAACAGCTTCTATTCTATTCTAACCTGTAACACTATTCTAACCTGTACCTCTTATAACAGCTTCTATTCTATTCTAACCTGTACCCCTATTATAACAGCTTCTATTCTATTCTAACCTGTACCTCTATTATAACAGCTTCTATTCTATTCTAACCTGTAACTCTATTATAACAGCTTCTATTCTATTCTAACCTGTAACTCTATTATAACAGCTTCTATTCTATTCTAACCTGTAACTCTATTATAACAGCTTCTATTCTATTCTAACCTGTAACTCTATTATAACAGCTTCTATTCTATTCTAACCTGTAACTCTATTATAACAGCTTCTATTCTATTCTAACCTGTAACTCTATTATAACAGCTTCTATTCTATTCTAACCTGTACCTCTATTATAACAGCTTCTATTCTATTCTAACCTGTAACTCTATTATAACAGCTTCTATTCTATTCTAACCTGTACCTCTATTATAACATCTTCTATCTATTCTAACCTGTAACTCTATTATAACAGCTTCTATTCTATTCTAACCTGTACCTCTATTATAACATCTTCTATCCTATTCTAACCTGTAACTCTATTATAACAGCTTCTATTCTATTCTAACCTAACCTAACAGTAACCTGTAACTCTATTATAACAGCTTCTATTCTATTCTAACCTGTAACTCTTTTATCACAGCTTATATTCTATTCTAACCTGTACCTCTATTATATCAGCTTCTATTCTATTCTAACCTGTACCCTATTATAACAGCTTCTATTCTAACCTGTAACTCTATTATAACAGCTTCTATTCTATTCTAACCTGTACCTCTATTATAACATCTTCTATCCTATTCTAACCTGTAACTCTATTATAACAGCTTCTATTCTATTCTAACCTGTACCTCTATTATAACATCTTCTATCCTATTCTAACCTGTAACTCTATTATAACAGCTTCTATTCTATTCTAACCTGTACCTCTATTATAACATCTTCTATCCTATTCTAACCTGTACCTCTATTATAACAGCTTCTATTCTATTCTAACCTGTAACTCTATTATAACAGCTTCTATTCTATTCTAACCTGTACCTCTATTATAACAGCTTTTATTCTATTCTAACCTGTACCTCTATTATAACATCTTCTATCTATTCTAACCTGTACCTCTATTATAACAGCTTCTACTCTCTAACCTGTAACTCTATTATAACAGCTTCTATTCTATTCTAACCTGTAACTCTATTATAACAGCTTCTATTCTATTCTAACCTGTACCTCTATTATAACAGCTTTTATTCTATTCTAACCTGTACCTCTATTATAACATCTTCTATCCTATTCTAACCTGTACCTCTATTATAACAGCTTCTGCTCTATTCTAACCTGTAACTCTATTATAACAGCTTCTATTCTATTCTAACCTGTAACTCTATTATAACAGCTTCTATTCTATTCTAACCTGTACCTCTATTATAACAGCTTCTATTCTATTCTAACCTGTATCTCTATTATAACAGCTTCTATTCTAACCTGTACCTCTATTATAACAGCTTTTATTCTATTCTAACCTGTACCTCTATTATAACAGCTTCTATTCTATTCTAACCTGTACCCCTATTATAACAGCTTCTATTCTATTCTAACCTGTACCTCTATTATAACAGCTTCTATTCTATTCTAACCTGTAACTCTATTATAACAGCTTCTATTCTATTCTAACCTGTACCTCTATTATAACAGCTTTTATTCTATTCTAACCTGTACCTCTATTATAACATCTTCTATCCTATTCTAACCTGTACCTCTATTATAACAGCTTCTACTCTATTCTAACCTGTAACTCTATTATAACAGCTTCTATTCTATTCTAACCTGTAACTCTATTATAACAGCTTCTATTCTATTCTAACCTGTACCTCTATTATAACATCTTCTATCCTATTCTAACCTGTAACTCTATTATAACAGCTTCTATTCTATTCTAACCTGTAACTCTATTATAACAGCTTCTATTCTATTCTAACCTGTACCTCTATTATAACAGCTTTTATTCTATTCTAACCTGTACCTCTATTATAACATCTTCTATTCTATTCTAACCTGTACCTCTATTATAACAGCTTCTACTCTATTCTAACCTGTAACTCTATTATAACAGCTTCTATTCTATTCTAACCTGTAACTCTATTATAACAGCTTCTATTCTATTCTAACCTGTACCTCTATTATAACAGCTTTTATTCTATTCTAACCTGTACCTCTATTATAACATCTTCTATCCTATTCTAACCTGTACCTCTATTATAACAGCTTCTATTCTATTCTAACCTGTACCTCTATTATAACATCTTCTATCCTATTCTAACCTGTACCTCTATTATAACAGCTTCTACTCTATTCTAACCTGTAACTCTATTATAACAGCTTCTATCCTATTCTAACCTGTACCTCTATTATAACAGCTTCTATTCTATTCTAACCTGTATCTCTATTATAACAGCTTTTATTCTATTCTAACCTGTACCTCTATTATAACAGCTTCTATTCTATTCTAACCTGTACCTCTATTATAACAGCTTTTATTCTATTCTAACTTGTAACCCTAATTATAACAGCTTCTATTCTATTCTAACTTGTAACCCTAATTATGACAGCTTCTATTCTATTCTTACTTGTAACTCTATTATAACAGCTTCTATTCTATTCTAACTTGTAACTCTATTATAACAGCTTCTATTCTATTCTTACTTGTAACTCTATCATAACAGCTTCTATTCTATTGTAACTTGTAACCCTAATTATAACAGCTTCTATTCTATTCTAACTTGTAACTCTATTATAACAGCTTCTATTCTATTCTAACTTGTAACTCTATTATAACAGCTTCTATTCTATTCTTACTTGTAACTCTATCATAACAGCTTCTATTCTATTCTAACTTGTAACCCTAATTATAACAGCTTCTATTCTATTCTAGCTTGTACCTCTATTATAACAGCTTCTATTCTATTCTAACTTGTAACCCTAATTATGACAGCTTCTATTCTATTCTTACTTGTAACTCTATTATAACAGCTTCTATTCTATTCTAACTTGTAACTCTATCATAACAGCTTCTATTCTATTCTTACTTGTAACTCCATTAAATCTCATGATGAATAAGGAACAACAAGAGTAATGGCAGTTCTATAATGTGTCAGACTATAAAGTTAATCTGGTTACATTGATAAGGAACTACTACTGTAAAGTTAATCTGGTTACATTGATAAGGAACTACTACTATAAAGTTAATCTGGTTACATTGATAAGGAACTACTACTATAAAGTTAATCTGGTTACATTGATAAGGAACTACTACTGTAAAGTTAATCTGGTTACATTGATAAGGAACTACTACTGTAAAGTTAATCTGGTTACATTGATAAGGAACTACTACTATAAAGTTAATCTGGTTACATTGATAAGGAACTACTACTGTAAAGTTAATCTGGTTACATTGATAAGGAACTACTACTGTAAAGTTAATCTGGTTACACTGATAAGGAACTACTACTATAAAGTTAATCTGGTTACACTGATAAGGAACTACTACTGTAAAGTTAATCTGGTTACACTGATAAGGAACTACTACTATAAAGTTAATCTGGTTACAATGACCAGGAACTATTACTATGTGGTTACACTGAAAAGAAACTAACCCCTGCCATACCTGAGTAAGATAGTCCTGCAGGGCTAGTAGACCTTTTTCCAGGTCTCCTCCCTCCAGTTCTGGTGGTCTATTTGGGTACTCCAGTTGACTGCGGTACTCACTTGGTAAGAGGTTAGGGTATAGCCCTATCACATGGGATGGATCTTAAACACAGACAAAATATTCCTTAAGGTATAATAACATTCAAGTAAAGAGCCAAATGAAAAGTTGTTGACAGTATACATTGAGAAGCATATGTACACATACAGGTATATACATTTAAAAATCTTTTTACTTTACAACAATTGTGAAACAAGTTAATTCAATTTATACTAATCACTCTTGTTGGCCCTAATGTATGCACACAAGATGTGTTATTTTGGGAGGAAATCAGTGTATCCAGTGAAAACCAACACTGACGGCAAGGTAACCCCCTACATTTTCACATCTGTTCACGGAAATAAACTCTGACTGGCTAGGTGAAAAGTGATTGGGTTACAACTGCACCTACCTGTCAACACTACAACTACAGTGAAAGTTAATTAGGTTACCAATCCACCACCTACCAACCCTACAACTACAGATGAGTCTCCTAACTCCTAACAATGTTAACAACCTCCAGTCAACATCAACAATAACTCATTACAATGTTAACAACCTCCAGTCAACATCAACAATAACTCCTTACAATGTTAACAACCTCCAGTCAACATCAACAATAACTCCTTACAATGTTAACAACCTCCAGTCAACATTAACAATAACTCCTTACAATGTTAACAACCTCCAGTCAACATTAACAATAACTCCTTACAATGTTAACAACCTCCAGTCAACATTAACAATAACTCCTTACAATGTTAACAACCTCCAGTCAACATCAACAATAACTCCTTACAATGTTAACAACCTCCAGTCAACATTAACAATAACTCCTTACAATGTTAACAACCTCCAGTCAACATCAACAATAACTCCTTACAATGTTAACAACCTCCAGTCAACATCAACAATAACTCCTTACAATGTTAACAACCTCCAGTCAACATTAACAATAACTCCTTACAATGTTAACAACCTCCAGTCAACATTAACAATAACTCCTTACAATGTTAACAACCTCCAGTCAACATCAACAATAACTCCTTACAATGTTAACAACCTCCAGTCAACATTAACAATAACTCCTTACAATGTTAACAACCTCCAGTCAACATTAACAATAACTCCTTACAATGTTAACAACCTCCAGTCAACATTAACAATAACTCCTTACAATGTTAACAACCTCCAGTCAACATCAACAATAACTCCTTACAATGTTAACAACCTCCAGTCAACATTAACAATAACTCCTTACAATGTTAACAACCTCCAGTCAACATTAACAATAACTCCTTACAATGTTAACAACCTCCAGTCAACATTAACAATAACTCCTTACAATGTTAACAACCTCCAGTCAACATTAACAATAACTCCTTACAATGTTAACAACCTCCAGTCAACATCAACAATAACTCCTTACAATGTTAACAACCTCCAGTCAACATCAACAATAACTCATTACAATGTTAACAACCTCCAGTCAACATTAACAATAGCTCCTTACAATGTTAACAACCTCCAGTCAACATTAACAATAACTCCTTACAATGTTAACAACCTCCAGTCAACATTAACAATAACTCCTTACAATGTTAACAACCTCCAGTCAACATTAACAATAACTTACCTGTTCCTTATTTTACAAATATCATCAACATAGACCCACCACTTACCTGTTCCTTATTTTACAAATATCATCAACATAGACCCACCACTTACCTGTTCCTAATTTTACAAATATCATCAACATAGACCCACCACTTACCTGTTCCTAATTTCACAAACATCATCAACATAGACCCACCACTTACCTGTTCCTTATTTTACAAATATCATCAACATAGACCCACCACTTACCTGTTCCTAATTTTACAAATATCATCAACATAGACCCACCACTTACCTGTTCCTAATTTCACAAACATCATCAACATAGACCCAACACTTACCTGTTCCTAATTTCACAAACATCATCATTATAGACCCACCACTTACCTGTTCCTAATTTCACAAACATCATCAACATAGACCCACCACTTACCTGTTCCTAATTTTACAAATATCATCATTATAGACCCACCACTTACCTGTTCCTAATTTTACAAATATCATCAACATAGACCCAACACTTACCTGTTCCTAATTTTACAAATATCATCAACATAGACCCACCACTTACCTGTTCCTAATTTTACAAATATCATCATGGATTCTTCAAACTTGCGCTCACAAAATAAATTAAATGCATGAAGAGTTTTTATTCTGTTAATCAGTTTCTGCTTCTCATCTTCAGGTTCCTCTGTCATATCCTGAAACAGAGGCAACAGTTAGTGAAAGGGGTATAAAAACAAGAGGCTCAATAGGCCTGCATTGTGAATCAGTGTTGATATTACAAAATATATTGAAATTTACATCATTGTGACATTTAGAGCGGGCACATCCAGTCTATCTTAACAATGTACACAACAAAGAGCTTCTTATACACAACATTAATGACAGTTATGACCTGGATTTGAATTAAAATAAGATGAGTCAGGTATGAAACAGATACTGGTGTACTCACAGATTAGTTGAGTCAGGTTTACAGCTTCAACAACCATTTTGGCTGTACCTTGACAATGCTATCTGTTGAGCAGTACATGAGATATGACTGGATTCATGTCAAATGAGGATACAATCTGACTTTTTCCTTGGATTTATGCAGTCAGTTATGTGATAGAAGGAAAATATTAAAGAGTTTTTCCGGAACAAAATGTTTTTGATACTTACTGCAAGATGTAGAGCTAGTTCAAACTGGTTTGCCTCTAGAAGCTGTCGTATCTGATAAGCTATAGGCATGGCATTTAGTTTCCACACATAATTTGAAGAGGCTACATACATACAACCACTGTAAAGAAACATTAATCTGTCAGGACCAACATCCAATTAGATCTCTGTCAATGGCCTCTAAGGCTATTGGGCTCTTTATTTCAGACCAAACCTAAATCTTACTTCATAGTAACCAGTCGTCAAGCCATTGATTTTTTGTTTTTGTTTTGTCTTTTTTTGCAAATGTTAAGTATATATAAACAACTGAAAAGTATAGATATGTTTATAAATGTCAGTTGTCAAACAACCCAGATAATTCTTCAGTGATAAAGTTAAGAGGGTAACATTCATACATCAAATTACTGGAGTTTATTGTGGATGCTTCAATCCCCTTGGATTTGATCACTTTATTTTAATGTTCAGTATTTGAAAACAGAAAATGAATAAATATTTTACTGTTCAGTATATGAAAACAGAAAATGATGAATTAATTTACTGTTCAGTATTTGAAAACAGAAAATGATAAATTATTTAACTGTTGAGTATATGAAAACAGAAAATGGCAAATTATTTTAATGTTCAGTATTTGAAAACAGAAAATGATGAATATCTTCAATCACCTAAATGATGAGTCAAATATAAAATTTTGTAAAGTATATATTTACCTTCCCTGGCAGATGTAGCGAGCTTTTTGAAGGTCGATGTTTTGTATGAGAAGACGTGGGGATATGGTTCTGACTTCCACATGTCTAGGTAATAAGGCTATGAGATATGGAGGGTGATTTTCTGGAGAAAGAAAAAAATAATATATAACATTACTAGGCTCTGTACCCTATCACCACATATCAATTTACAGAATGGTCTGGTATATAACATTACTAGGCTCTGTACCCTTTCACCACACCACAATTTACAGAATGGTCTGGTATATAGTTTACTAGGCTCTGTACCCTATCACCACACCTCAATTTACAGAATGGTCTGGTATATAACATTACTAGGCTGTGTACCCCATCACCACACCTCAACTTACAGAATGGTCTGGTATATAACATTACTAGGCTGTGTACCCTATCACCACACATCAACTTACAGAATGGTCTGGTATATAACATTACTAGGCTGTGTACCCTATCACCACACATCAATTTACAGAATGGTCTGGTATATAACATTACTAGGCTCTGTACCCTTTCACCACACCTCAATTTACAGAATGGTCTGGTATATAACATTACTAGGCTCTGTACCCTATCACCACACCACAATTTACAGAATGGTCTGGTATATAACATTACTAGGCTGTGTACCCTTTCACCACACCTTACCAACAATATTCTCTTGTCTATTATTTTCTAGGTCTTATGGCTTTGATCTCACTTTACCTATTTGTATAGGAATATCAGTCCAGTTGATGGGGTATTTTTGTGTGGGCTTGCCGTCATCGTCAATGAGTATAGACATTTCGTCCCTCCCAAGTAGAAGAGTATCATTTTCCAGCCGTGTTACGATTGGATCCTGTTGTTTAGTTCCCACGGGGAACAATTCTGTGGTGTTGCCTGTATTTATCTATAAAAGAAACACAAATCATTAAAGTATTACCTATAATGGTGACTAAATAGTCTGGGATAACATGAAGATATCTATGTTGTTAAGAAGAGGCCCATAGGGCCAGTATCACTCACCTGGTTTAACTTGCTAAATTGCTTTATCAAAATGAAATGAAAAGCATTTGAAGATTTATATCTATTTTCCCTGTTAGACCTGTCCCTTTGCTCTATGGGAATGAGACACATTGTTTATAAAAAATTAAGTTCCCTTCACTCATGGATGCTGTATACCATATTACAGTAAAATTCAATGATTCCTAAAAAATAAACACAATTTTAATGAATTTGCTGTATTTGACTTAATGTGTCCCATCCAGGGGACAAAGACCCATAATTTATACAGAAATGTTTCCCCTTCACCCTTGAATGCTCAAGACCAAATGAAACAAATTGTGACATTCCAACAGAAGAAGAACTTTAAAGAATTTGCTCTATTTCTGCTTTTGGTTTTCCTTGGATTTCCTTCACTCATGCATGTTTCAGAACAAAATTGGGCAAAATCTGATCAATCCAACAGGAGTGGTAGAATTTTAAAGAATATGCTCAAATTCCCCTATTGGGCCCATCCCCTCATGCTCCAGAGGGCCTACACCCTCTGTTTACACAAAACTGATTTTCCTTCATCCAAGCATGCCTCAGACCAAATTTGGACAAAATTCAATCATTCCAAGAGGAGGAGTAGGATTTTAAAGAGTTTACCATATTTCCCCTACTGAGCCACACCCCTCCAACCCAAGGGGGATGAGAAGTAACGTCTATACAAGATTGATTCCACTTCACCAAAGAATGCTTCAGACCAAATTTGGGCAATATCCAGTAATTTCTACAGGAGTAGTATGATTTTAAATAAATTGCAAAATATGCTCTTTCAGGCCTTGCCCCTCAGGATTCAGGGTGAGGACACCAAACATTATAAAAATTTGATTCCCACTTTAGCCAAGAATGCTATAAAAACAAATCTGGGTAAAAATCCAATCATTCCTACAGTAGGATTTTAAAGAATTAACTCAATTTCCTCTATTTGGCCCAGTCCCTTCTTTCAAAGGGACTATGCCTCAAGCGATCTAAAAACTGATTTTTCTCTTCACCAAAAAATGCTTAATACCAAATTTGGGCAAAATCCAATCATTCCTATGAAAGGAGTTAAATTGTAAAGAACTTACGAAAATTCTCCATTTTGCCGCTGCCCTAAGACCCCTGGGGGCAGAGACTCATCATTTATATAAAATTATACCTCTTCCCCAAGGATGCTTCTGACAGAATATGGTAAAAATCCACCCCACAGAAAGCTGATGGATGGGTAGACGATGGCGGCTATGGTATGCTGTAAGTTGACTTATTCCTTTGGCCCATGTGAGCCAAAAACAGAAGATACACTATCTTATTTGAATGTAAATATAATAATACATTGAAATTAACATCATTTTTTTTATATACCTTTACAATGAAGTAGTCGCGTTTAAAACCAACACAAATCGTATCCTTACACCAGACCATATCTCTGGGAACATCATACATGTTGTATTCAGGCTGGAAATATAAATTCAATTCAAATACACTAAATTTCAATTCCCTTCATTATAAATAAATCATCGATCAGCCAGTCATCATTTTAAGTCTCCAGACAATGTAATTGTGGTTGGATTGAAATTAAGACAATAGGAATAAAAGTAAATGTTTTTTTATGGAATGCTCCAATATTGTTGGGAGATTATTAAGCAGCGACCACACAACAGTATAATATACAACTGACGGAGACCACACAATAGTATAACATACAACCTACAGAGACCACACAATAGTATAATATACAACCTACAGAGACCACACAATAGTATAATATACAACCGACAGAGACCACACAATAGTATAATATACAACCGACAGAGACCACACAATAGTATAATATACAACCGACAGAGACCACACAATAGTATAATATACAACCGACAGAGACCACACTGACAGAGACCACACAATAGTATAATATACAACCTACAGAGACCACACAATAGTATAATATACAACCGACAGAGACCACACAATAGTATAATATACAGCCGACAGAGACCACACAATAGTATAATATACAACCGACAGAGACCACACAATAGTATAATATACAACCGACAGAGACCACACAATAGTATAATATACAACCGACAGAGACCACACAATAGTATAATATACAACCTACAGAGACCACACAATAGTATAATATACAACCGACAGAGACCACACAATAGTATAATATACAACCGACAGAGACCACACACTGACAGAGACCACACAATAGTATAATATACAACCGACAGAGACCACACAATAGTATAATATACAACCGACAGAGACCACACACTGACAGAGACCACACAATAGTATAATATACAACCTACAGCGACCACACAATAGTATAATATACAACCGACAGAGACCACACACTGACAGAGACCACACAATAGTATAATATACAACCGACAGAGACCACACCACACAATAGTATATAATATACAACCGACAGAGAGACCACACAATAGTATAATATACACCACACGACAGAGACCACACAATAGTATAATATACAACCGACAGAGACCACACACTGACAGAGACCACACAATAGTATAATATACAACTGACAGAGACCACACACTGACAGAGACCACACACTGACAGAGACCACACACTGACAGAGACCACACACTGACAGAGACCACACAATAGTATAATATACAACCTACAGCGACCACACAATAGTATAACATACAACCGACAGAGACCACACAATAGTATAATATACAACCGACAGAGACCACACACTGACAGAGACCACACACTGACAGAGACCACACAATAGTATAATATACAACCTACAGCGACCACACAATAGTATAACATACAACCGACAGAGACCACACAATAGTATAATATACACACACTACAGAGACCACACAATAGTATAATATACATACAACCGACAGAGACCACACACTGACAGAGACCACACAATAGTATAATATACAACCGACAGACCACACAGACCACACAATAGTATACACATACACCACACGACAGAGACCACACACTGACAGAGACCACACAATAGTATAATATACAACCTACAGAGACCACACAATAGTATAATATACAACCGACAGAGACCACACAATAGTATAACATACAACCGACAGAGACCACACAATAGTATAATATACAACCGACAGAGACCACACACTGACAGAGACCACACAATAGTATAATATACAACCGACAGAGACCACACACTGACAGAGACCACACAATAGTATAATATACAACCGACAGAGACCACACACTGACAGAGACCACACAATAGTATAACATACAACCGACAGAGACCACACAATAGTATAACATACAACCGACAGAGACCACACAATAGTATAACATACAACCGACAGAGACCACACACTGACAGAGACCACACAATAGTATAATATACAACCGACAGAGACCACACAATAGTATAATATACAACCGACAGAGACCACACACTGACAGAGACCACACAATAGTATAATATACAACTGACAGAGACCACACAATAGTATAACATACAACTGATAGAGACCACACAATAGTATAACATACAACTGACAGAGACCACACAATAGTATAATGTACAACTGATAGAGACCACACACTGACAGAGACCACACAATAGTATAATGTACAACTGACAGAGACCACACGATAGTATAACATACAACTGACAGAGACCACACAATAGTATAACATACAACTGACAGAGACCACACACTGACAGAGACCACACACTGACAGAGACCACATAATAGTATAATGTACAACTGACAGAGACCACACAATAGTATAACATACAACTGACAGAGACCACACAATAGTATAACATACAACTGACAGAGACCACACAATAGTATAATATACAACTGACAGAGACCACACAATAGTATAATATACAACCGACAGCGACCACACAATAGTATAACATACAACTGACAGAGACCACACAATAGTATAATATACAACTGACAGAGACCACACAATAGTATAACATACAACCGACAGAGACCACACAATAGTATAATATACAACCTACAGCAACCACACAATAGTATAATATACAACTGACAGAGACCACACACTGACAGAGACCACACAATAGTATAATGTACAACTGACAGAGACCACACGATAGTATAACATACAACTGACAGAGACAACACAATAGTATAACATACAACTGACAGAGACAACACAATAGTATAACATACAACTGACAGAGACCACACACTGACAGAGACCACATAATAGTATAATGTACAACTGACAGAGACCACACAATAGTATAACATACAACTGACAGAGACCACACAATAGTATAATGTACAACTGACAGAAACCACACAACAGTATAACATACAACTGACAGAGAGCACACAATAGTATAATATGCAACTGACAGAGACCACACAATAGTATAATATACAACCGACAGAGACCACACGATAGTATAACATACAACTGACAGAGACCACACACTGACAGAGACCACACACTGATAGAGACCACACAATAGTATAATATACAACTGACAGAGACCACACAATAGTATAATATACAACTGACAGAGACCACAAGATAGTATAACATACAACTGACAGAGACCACACACTGACAGAGACCACACAATAGTATACTATACAACTGACAGAGACCACATGATAGTGGAAAAAACAAGTGGTCCAAAACCTATTGGATGATAATCCAACAAAATATGACATCCCCCTTAAATCACTTGTTGATGTGTTGGAATATAGAGAACAGAGAATTTGTTCACTAAACATGATTTTCTCTAAATCAAATAAAAGCAAAGCAAATGATGGTATATCCCACACAGTATAGAAAACATGAAAGAAAATGCTGTAAAATAGACCAAACATTATGAAGAATTCCAACCAAAACTCATATCAAGGGACATAACTTTGTCATGGTAGTACAAAGCAAGTTACAAAAGATTTAATTGAAAATAAAAAAATGTGAATTAAGTTTGATTTATAAATGAATTTATCTGATGTCATTTATTCAAACTTGATAAATCTGACTCTTTAGATAAATGTCAAACCAACCTGAAGTTCCATGAAATCTCTATTTTTCCAGTAGTAAGTCTGCAACAGATTCATAAGTGAAACAGATACATTTCCTACATATTTTCACCAATAAAATAACATAAGCTCTCGATATTATGACAAGAAATGTCAGACAGGACTAAAGACATATGACTGACCAGTCAGAACATTATGTCTATCTGATACATGGAGATCTTTAATTTTTGCTTTTCTGTTGTAGATGACGCAAGGTGTAATAAGTGATTTCTGATACCTATTTTATAGTTATAATTACACTATATATCAGTTATATTTTGTTAATATGTGAGGAGAGTTAATTGTGAATTCAAATCCCTTATTATTTGTACAAAAATAAGTCTTTATGACATCCAAGATGATTCGCTTACAAATATCGGAGTCATTATATCTTATAGCCCATCATTTGTGAATTTCTAGATCATTGCTCATGAAATCATGTCATCATGTGAAAAATACAGCATTAGATAGTTTTTACCTGTTATAGAAAATATTATACAAGCACTAGACTTAACAAATCACACACAGATATAGACTCTTATCAATGAAAAATAATTTTCGTACTTCATTGTCCAAACAATAAATCTGGTAAAGCACTCGATCACAGTCCTTTAGCAAACAAGCTCGAAAATTAGTTTCTCTCCGAATTAAGGGGATCAGATTTCATCAAAAAGCTCATGCTGTTTTGACGGTTTTGTTTTTATTTTGATAATTCCTGAAGATGCACCCAACAGGCTAAATGTTTTCATGTCTTGTGTAAAATCACTACTTGTTTGATATACAGGTAAGTCACTGCTATATGATGATGACACTCATTAAGAAGCCAACCTCTTTTAATTGGATAATTAACTGGTAATTAACCACCAGAGACCAAGTGCTGTATATACGATGGACTGATATGCTGTAATTAGCAAAGTGTTATGCACAGATGACTTTCTATTGTGTATGTATTGACCAATTTTAACAGAAGACATGCTGATATTTTGACAAAAATTAATTTCGTGACAACAAATGACTTTCCTCTTGCTTTACAATTGAAGGAACTGAAAAATCAATTCAACTGAAAGTTCATCTCAATGAAATTTGAGTCATCCAAACTAAAATTACAAAATTATAAAAGGAAAAAAAATTGGGACTTTTTTGTATAATGTAAATGTATAGGACATACAGGAGATATCGTGAGATTTTATGAGTTTATCTTCGAGAGCCTTGACCACAAAAAATTACATAAATATTTCAAATATGAAATGAAAACAATATCAAAAACTTTTTATCACACATACAAGGTAACTCAATTCATGATGCAATATCATTATCCATATTATGACATCACTATCAATTTCTGATTGACAAAGCCAATGAAAAATGTTCCACGATATATAACACTAGTAACATATGTAAAAATGTTATAAGGGAAAATCTGTTGGATAACAGCCATGTGATAAATACCTGTATCTTGCGTTTGATAGCAACAGACAGGCGAAGGGTACAAGCAATCTCTCCACTCAAGGACTTTGTCCTCTGAAAAATATTATATATATTATATAATTTTGTGTTACAACTGAATTCTTACATACCATAACCCCTAGCTTTTGTTTCATTCAAACAGATTTCTTTTACATGGCTCTACATACCGAGTCAACAACCAAGACTGTTCAAATATCATTTAACGTTTAATTCTACAGCCATTAAAATTTGTTTTCATTCACATAGAAAATATCCTTATTTAAGTACATACCTGAACACCTATGGCAAACAGTGTGGCTCCCTTGGTTTTGGACAGACATGTTATCAGACCAAATGTAGAGAGCTCATGTACATTGATGATGCTATCTGTAGGAAGAGAGTGAGAAAAGCTATTCAACATTAGGTTTCACTAAACACTATCAGAAAATATTTTCTTTTTGTTGGTATTTTGTGAATAGATGTTCATGTAGTATTATAAGCTACAAAATTAGGTGTAACATTTGTGTACAGGTAAATTGTTTTTTGGCATTTATTTTGCAGGGTAGCCAATATTACCAACATTTGTACATCATTTACAACACTATATACAAGTGTAGACAATATCATCACTCAAAGTACATTATTTACGCTCTGTGTACAAGTGTAGACAATATTCTCCGTAAATTATTTACAACAATGTATACAAGTGTAGACAATATTCTCCATATGTTATTTACAACAATATGTACAAGTGTAGACAATATTCTCCGTACATTATTTACAACAATGTGTACAAGTGTAGACAATATTCTCTGTACATTATTTACAACAATGTGTACAAGTGTAGACAACATTCTCCGTACATTATTTACAACAATGTGTACAAGTGTAGACAATATTCTCCGTACATTATTTACAACAATGTGTACAATTGTAGGAAATATTCTCCGTACATTATTTACAACAATGTGTACAAGTGTAGAAAATATTCTCCATACATTATATACAACAATGTGTACAAGTGTAGAAAATATTCTCCGTATATTATTTACAACAATGTATACAAGTGTAGACAATATTCTCCGTACATTATTTACAACAATGTGTACAAGTGTAGAAAATATTCTCCATACATTATATACAACAATGTGTACAAGTGTAGAAAATATTCTCCGTACATTATTTACAACAATGTTTACAAGTGTAGACAATATTCTCCATATATTATTTACAACAATGTATACAAGTGTAGACAATATTCTCCATATATTATTTACAACAATATGTACAAGTGTAGACAATATTCTCCATACATTATTTACAACAATATGTACAAGTACCTGACAGACTGATGAGCAGGAACAACTCTGGCACCACTGCCAACTGAAATAAAGAAACAAAAGTACGACGTTTAACAAATGTATGGCATTGTTACTATATCTTTATATTTACAGTTTTTTTCATTAATATGCTGTCGCAGTTTTGATTTTATTATATAATAACAAAAATAATCAGTCACCATATTGATGTCATTGAGAAATATTCTTTTTCTTTGTGCGACATGAAGCTTGATGCTGTTTGATGCTCATTAGTTTGCCTGTTGGGTTTGTTGTTGTACACCTTGTTCTCATTTGAGAATGCAACATTACTTACTTGGATTGACCAAGGTTTACATGGAAGGTGTTGTCGATGAAGCAGAAGACGCTTACTCTCCTGGAACACCTGGTCTTATTTTCCATGTGTTTTTTCAGGAGTCTCCCTGTAAATCTTTCTTTTGTTCATATTTTCCCCTAGTTTTATGGAATTTGAGTTTAAATTATGATTATGTTGCCATGCTGGTATTTTCTTGATGTTTTTGCCATCCTAAAACCTACCATTCTGGAACAACCTTTTGTTTCAGTCTTTCTAATATCACAGTGACAAAACCAATGACAAATATTTCACATATATTTCATAGTCGCACTTCATTAATTTGAACTTCAAAACTTGAATGACCTCGTTAACTGAAAATACTTTGGCTGTCTCAGCAAAATTGTTTCTTACTAATAATAGTAATAAAAACCCAGAAAACTGGGAAAACTTTGATAATTCAAAGTAACAAGAGGCAAATGGGCCTTAAAGGTCACCTAATGTCCCCTTATTGTTACTGGGGAGAATTTGTTAAAATGATTTTCAAGTGTGATACTTTGGCACTAGGGCAGAGACCTACATTCATAACGTCATATCAATAAGTGCTCTACAACTATAATTATCAATATTTAAACAAAGGCTTTGGCAAGAGTATACCATCTTCTTATTACCTACAATTCCATTGTGAAGAAACATGTAAGACATTTAGATGCAATATGTTACATGATATATGTATTTGCAAAAAAATAAATAGAAACATCAACTAAAAGATCACCAGTAATAACAATAAGGGTCAGGTGACCTATTAACGTCTTGAGACACAGGTGGTGACCTTGGACACACACCTGGTTTACACAGGTATATGTTTAACATGAAAGGGATGTCAGCAACTGCTAAAATTGAAATTTGTCTTCTAGTTAACATGTTAGGCAGATATTGAAGATATCATTTTGTATTTAAGAAGTTCACAAAAACATTTATGATCTGTCACTAGTTTTATGATACCTCTACACAACACAGTGCACCATCACTGCTGAATTCTGACCAATTGTAAAACTAACATATCATATGAGACTGCTACAATTGTATCAAGAGGTGAAAATTGATTCAGGGTACTATCCAGGTGATATCTACATAGAAAATAGAGATCAGCAAAATATTGTTGCTGGTGACCTATAATAATTTGCTCTTGGAACTATTTTGTTGCTGTTCATGTTGTCAGTAACATCCAAGTGGCGCCACCTACTGATTCCATTGCAGTAGTGTAAAACGTAAATCTAAGTCTCATCAATGAGGCATTCTGATAAATTCACTGTCAAGTAATACTCTACCTGTAAAATAGGTTTCCTGGCAAAGTTCTTGTAGGATCTCTCCAATTTCACTTCTGCTTTTTGATCTAAAAATCAAACAATAAGATTAAATAAAGTACAATGTTTTAATCATGTATATTTGTATACTGTGTTACTGATGATGTCTCTCTCTAAATGTATATACTGTGTTACTGATGATGTCTCTCTCTAAATGTATATACTGTGTTACTGATGATGTCTCTCTCTAAATGTATATACTGTGTTACTGATGATGTCTCTCTCTAAATGTATATACTGTGTTACTGATGATGTCTCTCTCTAAATGTATATACTGTGTTACTGATGATGGCTCTCTAAATGTATATACTGTGTTACTGATGATGTCTCTCTCTAAATGTATATACTGTGTTACTGATGATGTCTCTCTCTAAATGTATATACTGTGTTACTGATTATGTCTCTCTTTAAATGTATATACTGTGTTACTGATGATGTCTCTCTCTAAATGTATATACTGTGTTACTGATGATGTCTCTCTCTAAATTTATATACTATGTTACTGATGATGGCTCGCCTTACTAGATGAAACATGTAAACTGGTAAATAAACTACGAAATCCAGATGTTAACGTTCCACCGTTAATATCTTTGTATAATGAACACAATAAGAGCTTTCTACATTACCTCCTCCTGTTGTACGCTTTACTTTGTATTGTAACAGGTGGCATTCTTTTGTCCCAACAAGCAATATGTCATCTGAAATGTTAAAATCAATATATGAAATATGAGTAATTATATGTACATGTGCATAAAATATCAAATGTCTGTAAGATATTAATTCCATTGCTAACATGCTTTTAAGTATCATTGCTTGATGATCTTTGATACTGAATTGCAGAGGTTGTTAAAACTTAATTTGATCTCTTTATCTTGACAGATGACCACCTTTATATGATAAGATGAAGAAACTGATGTTATTAATGACACTATGGGGTAAATATGAATCAAATCTGTTGTGATTCAATCCAATTCAACAGTCTTTGCTCAGTACTATAGGCCTAATTTCATATCTTTTTTAGTACAATAAAGTCATATTTAAAGAATATGAGAAATGTGTTACATACATTCACAAATTATAGTATTAAGAAATTCTTAAATTCACTAGGTTCACAAGGAAAATATTAATACCATCATCACTTTAGAGTCTGACTGATTCTACTTTCTTTATCCTTCAATGCATACAAAAACATACAGTAAATAACAGCATTATATGCATGCATAAATAATTTATACAATTGTTATTTCAATTGTTGTGGCATTTATAAACTTAGTGATGAAATAGTCAAATATATATTTACATGACATCACAATTTTTTATTTTCCTATTTCGTTTCATTATCATTAATGCTTACTACCATGTTCTCAGGTTCACAATCTTCACTAAACCCTTTTACCAGAGCAGTTTCTTTCCAAATATAGACATTATCGTAAATATTTGACTCTCTCACAGCAGAGTTATGGGGGATAGTGCACAATAAAATACAATTCATCCTCAACTGTTCTGGTACCATCCTGTACACATAACAGACATACTCTATGTGATATTTCAACATAATTTCAATGACCTAACTCTTTTGCTAGATTTTAGTTACCACACCTAGATCTGGCTATTATCACCTTCAAACTCCTGTCCATTCTCATATTTCATATGCATTTAAGTACCTATTTTACTATCGCTCACCTGGTTTAGTTTGCTGAAATTGCTTCATAAAAGCTAAAGGAAAACTATTTAAAAGATTTTTCCAAAAGGAAGTAAGATTCACAGTTTACTCAAAACTAAGTTCTTTTTCTCCAAAGTTGCCTTAGACCAAATTTGAGCAAAACCAAATTATTCCAAAAAAAGAAGGATTTGAATGAATTTCCTTTAAATCAGGCCCCAACCTTCTTGCCCAGGAGGAGAAAGACCAATCATTTATACAAAATTCCCTTCACCCAAGCATGCCTCAGATCTATCTGGTACAGAATCCAGTCATTCCTACTGAAGAGAAAGGATTTTGAAGAATTCTCTCTATATCCCCGATTGAACTCATCCTTCCCATCCAAAAGGGACCCAAGACCCACCTTTTATACAAAAACCTTTCCCCTTTTTCCAAGAATGCTTCTGCTCCAGGTGGCCAAGATCCACCATTTATTAAAAATTGATTCCCATTCACCTAAAAATGCTTCAGACTAAATTTGGTGTACAATTTTGGTCCTACAAGAGGAGTAGGATTGTTAAGAATTTCCTCTATATAACATATTGGGCCCTGTTTAATATAAATCTAAGTAAAAGATATCCATGGGAATTTCTCTATAATTTGGTATGTGCAATCTTTGACCATAATGGGTATTGTCATATAATGGTGACGTCATTGTGCAAAAACAAGTACTGTATTCACGCTTTTGGCTGTAACCTTGCTTGCCGATCACCTTTCAGCTTAAAATAGATAATGGAACAAATTATAGGTATATATATTCCTGTGAACACATGCACTATAGTTATTCCCCTTCCTCCACATAATTGTTGTCTGCACAGTCTATGGCTACCAGAGGTGGTAAATTGTCAACAGTGCAAAAAGAATAAGAGAATATTTTCAAGTTTTGGATTTCATATCGTTGGTCTGACATGTTAGCTGAACATTCAGAGATTGATTTCTTGGCTTCCACAGATTGATTTTGACAAAATTTTTGGGTGCACACATTATGCAAGTAGAAGCTTTTTTTCACCATTTTCAGCCCCAAAAAGTACCTGTGCACATTATGTTGGTGAGCACATTATGCAGAATTTAGCAGTAATATTCAGTAACAAGATCCAAATAAGAATAGGTATAGATAGGAAATGTATGTTTGGCATCCAAACAACAAGCAGTTACAGCCTTATTGTGACTGAGTTGTTGAAAGCCAAGCCAGAAATATTTGATTTTCTGTTATGTTTTGGTGGTTTATCACCTACTTTGGTGTTGGCATATGAATTTCCGTGGATGGAAACTTTAAGTGGGTAAAGTACATTTCCATTTAAGATGATAATTTTTGACTTGTGATTATAAGACATTTAAATGAAATCTAAAACAGAGCAGACCTAATCTGCACTGTAAACAACATCTGGAAAGACCTGCCAGTTTTTACTACATACAGACCCTTTATAACTCTCTGTCACAAAGTTTCAAAATGTAGCTAGAATACAAGCACAGATAATCCAGTACTAAAAACTTCAGGTATTTACCTCTTTCAGTTTTGGAGATTTGTTAACGCACCGATTTCACACCGGCATTGCCATTGTGCGACAATACTCATGGTCACTGAGTGTATATCCTATACATACTCAATATGATGTAAGCCTACACATTACTACCCTCTTCGACATTTTTCTACTGTAAAGATCTTTTTCTCTTTCAGTGATTTTGCTCAGGAATACCAGAAGCTCAACATTATTTTTTCCTTCATGGACGAATTTATTCAAATGATACGGAAACAGCAAAACACTTACACAAAATATCAACATTAGCTTTTGTCCCATCCCAAATATTACATACATATGTATTTGTAATATCGTATATCGTTGACTTAAATAATGTTCTAACTTTTAAATAATTGATGAAGATTCTTTATCATGAACTGCTTGCTGGTCGCCAGCCAGTGATATATGTAATCTGTAATGTATTGGTGTATGCAACGAGACTGCGGCTGAAGCTTGTCAAAAATGGAGTTTACCGTAACAAGCAATGGATTCAATTTTCAATGGAAGCTTCTCCAGTATAGGAATGTCCTCGTATGCGTCATGCATTGTACTCAGTTTCTACTTCACAACACACATTATGAAAATGTTCCCATCATATATCAATCTCAAGGAAGGATGAAGACGATTGTTTCGTTTTCACATGACTGACATTTTAAAACTCTAGTCAGAAGAGTTCCATTTCCGTTTTAAGACGTCTACAGTAAGTGGGCGTGGCAATAGGCTAAATTAATTATACTTGCATGTAGAAACAGATTATCAAACCTATGTGTGCATCAATAATAAGTAGGGAATTATGAGTCAATTTACAAAGTCAGTGATGCATCGTTTTAATTGAATATACAAGTAACGCCTTGATATGTATGTATTTGAAAAAATGTATATATTTTACCTTTAAAACAGCTTATATTAGTATTAACAACACAGATAATATATGGAACAACCCTCCGCTTGAGATTTTGTTTTAGATTCATGAAGCTATGTGTTATGTCCTACTTTTAAGGAATAAGTCGATCAAAGTAAACCTCAGTTGTGCATGTATGGATGCTTAAAAAATCAAAAATACAAATAAAATATATGTATATGAACAGTGACTTCGCCATACATGTGATCTCTATAACAAATATATCCCTTCTGTTGTAGAGTGTAACCTCTATAACAAATATATCCCTCCTGTTGTAGAGTGTGATCTCTATAACAAATATATCCCTCCTGTTGTAGAGTGTAACCTCTATAACAAATATGTCCCTCCTGTTGTAGAGTGTGATCTCTATAACAAATTGATTCCTTTCGTTATTCTGTTAAAATATCTTATATCCTGATTATGTTTAAATTTGTTCAATTATTAGGGTTCCAAATAAATGCAACTTTTAAACATTGCTTAAATATTTTGGTCTGAAGGCAGGGTGAGTTTTGAAACATAGATCTATAAGTCCATGATGAGTAATTTAATTTTGCGAATTTTAATGCATTCGCTAATTCAGTGAAATGAAAAAGCTCGCGAATAATAGCGACTATAAACTATAACCAGTGTTGTTGGTGGGTATTTCAATGATACTTCTGATGTCTTCTCTATACATATATGCATTAATGATACATTGTGCGATTTAAGTTGTCGTCAGAGGGTAAAATAACAAGTGGACTGATTTCAAAGTCTTTAAATATCTTAAAACAGTTTGTAAAGCATGATTGTAACCCTGGTAAAATACTAGCTGCAATATACCACTCGGTTTGAGAGAACTTCTCTTTAGCTCAATTGGTTGAGCATCAAACTAGTAAGCCAGGGGCCCCGGGTACCATAAACATTTTACTGTCTTGTTTAGTATTGATGGTCATTATGATTGTCAGAATTTTGCAAGAAAAAATCTTATTGTTGGTGTATGTACTTAGTCGAGCCTTCCACATTTTGTTGCTAATGGAATTACATAAAACAAATTGAGCGTTTACTGTATGTAATAGTGTAGAGAAACAAAAATTAACATCACATTAAAAAAAATATATTTCTCTCAATGTCTGAATCAGTTGTAATCATAGTTTCAGTAATTTTTTTTAATCTGTCTCTGCCGACATTTCCAGACATGCAGCAACAAAATATTGTTTTGTGCCATGAGAAATAATAGTACACATGCGCCAGTACTTTGCTTGTAATGTAGTAATGAAGGTGGGAGTCAATGTTATCAATGCGACTACATATAGTGATAAAAGGTCAGATACCATAAACATGTGTATCTTTATTCTCAAAAATACATTTAATTTATTGGCCACATGCTGATGTCAAAATTATATCTGCTTGTTATCAAGAATGACGCAAAAAAACTGTTTTCCTGACATGTTACTGAAAGATGAAATAAATGCATTGAGTTAAAAAAAATGCATTCATAATCCTGATCAAGCAAAATAAACTGTCTCATAAACTAATTGGTTTGGAGTATCTTGCATTTGTACAATTATGCGATGTGTTTTTCACCTTTGGACCATTATTTATGCTGTTAATCTAAGAAATGAAGACATATCAACTGTCACCAGTGAACTAATTTTTAATTCAAGTTTGTCAAAGTTATTTTAATGTGTCAAAGACAGTCTCAACTACTAGATTAAGGTGCTCAGTCAATGACATTCTCAACTAGTAGATAAAGGTGCTCAGTCAATGACAAGTCTCGACTAGTAAATAAATGTTCTCAGTCAATGACAGTCTCAACTAGTGGATAAAGGTGATCAGTCAATGACAATCTCAACTAGTAGATAAAGGTGCTCAGTCAATGACTGTCTCAACTACTAGATTAAGGTGCTCAGTTAATGACAGTCTCAACTAGTAGATAAAGGTGCTCAGTCCATGACAGTTTCAACTAGTAGATAAAGGTGCTCAGTCAATGACTGTCTCAACTACTAGATTAAGGTGCTCAGTTAATGACAGTCTCAACTAGTAGATAAAGGTGCTCAGTCAATGACTGTCTCAACTACTAGATTAAGGTGCTCAGTTAATGACAGTCTCAACTAGTAGATAAAGTTGCTCAGTCCATGACAGTTTCAACTAGTAGATAAAGGTGCTCAGTCAATGACAGTTTTAACTTCTATATATAGGTGTTACTAATAGATGGAAGTCTGTGTCTCTTCTAAATACAGGTAACTTTACCCACCTGAATTTATACTGTTGTAAGGGAAAAACCTATAATCTCCATCAAAACAAATTGTATCAAAGGGAAATTTAAAATATTGTCATTCAGAGCTACACCCAATAGACATCTGTAAAAAAATTACAAAAGATTTGATGGAATGAAACTGAACTTCTACTATGTGTTTTGATACATAGTAAATGTCTTAGTTTTACCAATTCTTAGGAAATTATTGTTTTTCATCATAACACTGCTCAAATGACTAGCTATTATGAACCCTAAAAGACAATAAACACAACCTGTTATTCTTTACAGTTTTTATTGATGTGCAGATTTCATTTTGATACACGATATCTAAAGATTATCAATTTACATTTGACCTCCTCCATAACAAAGTCACTGAAAGCAATAAACAACATAAATATCTACCCATACATACAACATGTGCTTAGGGTCGGTAGGTGTGAATCTTGGTATCTGATTCCATTATATATGGGTAGGTTCTACAAAGCTTAACATATCACCAAGGTATGTAAATGGCCTTAACAGTTCTATAAGTGCTGTCAATTTGGTTGTTGTAACATATGTCCTAGAAACAATGTTGTTAAGAATGTAGGCTAACTCAAACTAAATTATATGTTTAATGCAAATAATTAATGTAAAATATGTATCAACTGCCACTTCATTTTAATATTTCTAACCAAACTGGAATTGTTTCTAATGGAATTTAATTAAGTTATGCTTAAAAATGTCGTTTTTTCTGTATAAACTATTGTCAGATTTACCCCTTCCAATAAGGTCAAATGGTGTGACCCTGAGGTTATGAAATCCACAATTCTGGGAAAGGACCTTAAGATCCTTCTTCTCATAAAGAGTATAATATTCTACCATATCTTAGTGCTGAGAAGAAGATTTTTAGTCATTTCGGCTCCTTTTTGCCCTGTTCCTGTGGCCCGTTGGAGGTCTGAACCACATGATTACAAATATTAGTTCACCTTCGTAATGCATATACCTAATTATCAAAAATCACCAATGTTTCTTATTTTAAAGGACAGTTGGTCTTACAGATGTACATGGATTAAACTAAAAATAGCATATGTACTTTACAAAATGTAGCTAAACAAGTAACTCAGCTTCACAACAGCAGAACTAGAGGCCCATGGAACATGTATCACTACCCTGGCTATTTCAGATATTCAGTCATTTAAAAAAGAACTGAAATGATGACAAATTTCTGAAATAGTTTTTCTGTTCGGCTCCAGCCTAGTGGTGAAATGGAAATCAAAACCACTGTTTGTAAAAATTGAGTTTCAGTCTCCAAAGAATGCTTCAGACAAGACTTTGACAATATCCTTGTAAGAAGGAAGGATTTTTAAAAGCTTATTACGTTTCTTTTATTGAACCCTTTGTGCCAGGTGGGCTAAAATCATCCAAAAATGCAATTCATTTGTCCTAAAATTAACCTAAAACTCACCTAAAACTCATTTTTTATAAGTCTAAGGAAAAAATCAAAGATGGAAAAAACATTTTTTCAATCATTCAAGCAAGATCAAAGTTAAGTTATGCAATAAATTTGGAAACTAATCATTACAGATAACATATTTACAACAAGAGGCCCAATGGACCTGCATCACTCACCTGGCTAATAAGTCAGATCCACTATTGCTAAGAACTGGTTTAAACCAACCTTGGACAACATCCTTGGACAGAAGAAGGAATTAAAAAAAATATTTGATTTCCCCAATTGAGCCTCATTCCTCTTGCCTCTATTTCTCCTATTGGGCCCCACCCCTTCCTTGCAAGTGGCCAAAATTTACCAGGTGTAGTGAGATTTTAAAGACTTTACTCTATTTCCCACATTAGGCCATGCTCCTTCAGCTGGTCTCAGGGGGCTGAGACCTTTTCCTTGTACAAGATTGATTTCCCTTCACCCAAGAATGCTTCAGACCAAATTTGGACAATATCCATTCAAGATTTTGAAGAATTTGGTAAGTTTCTCCTTTTTGGCCCTGCACCTGAGGCCTCTGGGAGCTGAGAGCCAAAATTTATACAAACTTGGTTGTGCTTCCCTCAAGGATGCTTCAGACCAAATTTGGCCAGTGTATGTTCAGTCTTTCATGACTTGAAGAAATTTTTATAATAAAAAAAGTTAACAGACAGATATTAAATAAAAACCAATTAAATACCTTAAATATATGACACACTACTTCTAGGAGGTACCATTACATTGTGTTCAATGTATTTAACTTAATTAGTCACCAATGGTGCTTTTAAAAGTCTTGGATGAACAAGTTCAAATTTTAAGCTCAATATGACCATGACCATGTACTTACATACTCGGTACACACTTGAAAATGTGAGTTTGTGAGAAGTTATCTTACCATCCTACATATAAATCCTTGAAATATCACCTACTTACTTACATTGAGTCATAATGAGCAAATATGACCTTTAAATTCATTCTGAACTTGGGATTAAAGAAGTGAAACAGTTACAAACACCATGTCTGGTAATGCTGTTAAATTTTATTGCCAGATGAATGGACACACGGAAAACAATATCCTCCCCTGGAATTTTTCAAACAGCACCTATAAGGGAATGATGTCTGCACATCTTCACATCACATCTAGCTTATCATAAACTCAGTGGGCAATTCATAGCCCATATAGCATAGGCATAACAAAAATGGGCAACCCAAAGATTTTTAATAGCAAGGGAACACGGGTGATTATTAGGTATGACATTCATGATAGCATAAACCTAACACAACAGGAGGACTCAGAAATATTCAATAGCAAAAGAATATGGGTGATCATTAGGTGTGGCATTCATGGTAGCATAAACATAACACAAATAAAGGACTCGGAAATATTCAATAGCAAAAGAATATGGGTGGTGATTAGGTATGATATTTAGGGTAGCATAAGCCTAACACAACAGGACTTAGAAATATTCAATAGCAAGAGAATATGGGTGATTATTAGGTGTGACATTCATGATAGCATAAACGTAAGACAACAGGATGACTCAGAAATATTCAACAGCAAGGTACATGTGTGATTATCAAGTGTAACTTCATGGTAACAAAACATAATACAAAAGGATGACTCAGAAATATTCATCAGCAAGGAAACATGGATGATTATTAGGTATGACATTCATGGTAGCATAACCTAACACAAATGGAGGACTCGGAAATATTCAATAGCAAGAGAATATGGGTGATTATTAGGTATGGCGTTCATGATAGCATAAATGTAACACAAAAGGATGACTAAGAAATATTCATCAGCAAGGAAACATGATTGATTATTAGGGATGACATTCATGGTAGCATAAACCTAACACAAATGGAGGACTCGGAAATATTCAATAGCAAGAGAATATGGGTGATTATTAGGTATGGTGTTCATGATAGCATAAATGTAAAACAAAAAGATGACTAAGAAATATTCAATAGCAAGAGAACACCGGTGATTATTAAGTGTGACATTCATGATAACATTAATGTAACACAAAAGGATGACTCAGAAATATTCAATAGCAAAAGAATATTGATGATTATTAGGTATGATATTAATGGTAGCATAAACCTAACACAACAGGAGGACTTGGAAATATTCAATAGCAAGAGAATATAGGTATTTATTAGGTGGTACACTGTACATAAAGATACCTGATGTATTTGTTACAGTTCAAATCTACCAGCAGCAGAAATTGGAGCATTCAATATTACACAGTAGATATTAAATTTGACATGAAAATGATCAGGCATGGGGAAAAAATCTTGAAAACAATCAACAAATATATTAACTACATTTCCTTTTTGACTCTGAGTGTCTAAATTACAGACCATATTTGGGTTGTTTATCGACAGCTGCAATACATACCATAAGCAATAGGCAATTAATGTTTTGATTTCAAACAATCATACTCGCATACAGATGACTGACAGCCAAATATCCCAATTTCTGGAACACTAATATGTCACACTACACAAGCCAACCACACAATATTCATCCAGCAGTAAACCTTCCTCCCTATCTATTACTGTTAAATAAAACAGAAGCTTATTTATAGTTAGTAAGTCTAACCCCCATCCCGACTAGTTATGGACAATATGTTGGGGCTGTGGGCTTAATGAAGGGTAAATACTATTATGGTAAAATCTAAGCTGTCTGGTAACAATTAACATAGTGTAATTTATTTCTGCTTTACATCCTATTAACAGCCAGGGTTAATTGATTTGATCAAATACCTGTGGTATATAAAGCTAAGTCATCAGCAGATTTAGGTAAGGAAAACAAGCATATCTGATACCAAATTTAACAACATAAGGTTACCCAGATGTTAAGGAGACAGTCTTTTACCACAAGTATACAAGTGCTCATAACTCGTCATTATCTGATCCATGTTGACGATACTGTCGCTTAGATGCTTTTGTCCATTTCTTGAATCTTTTGAATTCTGTTAGATTGGAATGACTGCCTCCAGAGCTTTCATTTTCAATATTGCTATTTGTGGCTGTCACCGACATTTTGTCACAAGAGTTTTGTATATGAGAATTAGCTATCATTCCGATCTGAGTGGATGTGGATGGTTGGTTATTAAAGTCTGTTTCATGGAGGTAAGGGCCAAGTTCTGAACCCTCTTTACTTTTACCTGGCACCGATTTACCATTACTAACACCCTGGGTATCATCTTTACACGATCTTTCCCCATCCTCCTTTCCAGCATTGTCAGAACTGTTCTGTTCTGTGCATGGCTTTTTACTGCATGTTTCTGCCACAGAAAGCTCTTCATTACCACTATCATCTGATTCACTATTTAAGATGTTGTTTCTAAGTTGCTGAAGCCTTTTAAGCCTGATCTGAGCTTTCTGTCTTTGTGCTGAAAGCACATTTTCTGGATGGCCAACAGACTGAACAGTGCTACTGGATGTTTTACTTTGTTCTCCATCACTTGATTCAGAACTAGATGATCGAGGCCTTCTTCGTTTCCTCTGTTTATTCTTCAGAGCCTTGCTAGCTTGCCTCTTTACCTCTTTACGTTTTACAATGAGCTCAGAGATGCTTCTCCTAGCATTTCCACTGGTGATAGTTGGTCTCTGTGAGCTTGACTGTGTAGTATTCAAACTTGCATTATCATCTGAAAGGTTTAAGTTTTGATTATCCCCAGATGTGTCTAAGGATGTATCTAATGATATACCAGATGATTGTTCCTCCATGCTACGAGACGTCTGAACAGCAACTACACTTGCAAATGCAATACTGAATGGACTGAATGCTGAATCTTCCTCATAATTGCCATCACTAGTATTATTATTGGTCATACTTCGACTGACACCAGATTCTGATTCTGAACTATTAGACACTTCTGAATGTGACAGCTGGATAATTCGTTCATACAACTCTTGCTCACTACTGGACAGATCATCTTCAGATGAACAGCCTTCAAGCTCACGCTGGACGAGAGAATCAAAGAACGCCATCATACGTGGATCTTCCTCTGTTGAGTGACTAGAGTAATCGTGAGTCATCACGTGACCACTCTGGAGCACCAGGTTGATGTATTCCTCATGTGTATAGACAGATCTCTCCCCAACTGAGAGGGGTGGAGGATCTTCCTCTCCCAGGCCTCCCTCACTGTTAGGCATGTCAAACAGGCTCCAAACCTGAAATATGACACAATGATGTGACTAAACTGAACGGGGATTCAATTAGATTCAATATAGAAACTTGTAGGAACACAAATAATAACTTCAAATCAATATAGTCTTCTACTAACTAGATGATTCTGTAGTTTATGTATTTCAACTTTAACACATGTCACATGTACTTTCATCTTGATGTGCAACAAAACTCAATCTTATCCTTAAATAAATGTTTCTGAAGGACACCACCATATTACTATATTTCAAGCATGATTGGTAACACTTAGTAATCTCCATATAACTTAAGTCTTTTGTGTAAAAATGTAGAAAGTATTAAGGAAGAAAAATATTCTTTAAGTCCTCTTAATATTGTGATTTCACATTCAATATTGATTCCACATTTGTCTGTAAAGAATGAGTTTACTTTCCTGTCTGTAAAGAATGTGTTAACTTTCCTGTCTGTGAAGAATGTGTTAACTTTCCTGTCTGTAAAGATTGTGTTAACTTTCCTGTCTATAAAGAATGTGTTAACTTTCCTGTCTGTAAAGAATGTGTTAACTTTCCTGTCTGTAAAGAATGTGTTAACTTTCCTGTCTGTAAAGAATGTGTTAACTTTCCTGTCTGTAAAGAATGTGTTAACTTTCTGTCTGTAAAGAATGTGTTAACTTTCCTGTCTGTAAAGTTTGTGTTAACTTTCCTGTCTGTAAAGAATGTGTTAACTTTCCTGTCTGTAAAGAATGTGTTAACTTTCCTGTCTGTAAAGTTTGTGTTTACTTTCCTGTCTGTAAAGAATGTGTTAACTTTCCTGTCTGTAAAGAATGTGTTAACTTTCCTGTCTGTAAAGAATGTGTTTACTTTCCTGTCTGTAAAGATGTGTTAACTTTCCTGTCTGTAAAGAATGTGTTTACTTTCCTGTCTGTAAAGATGTGTTAGATTTCTTTTCTGTCTTCAAAGAGTTCATAAGCCAATGGCTTTACAAGGACAGGGGTTACCATACCTTCAATGATGCAGGTGTCACTGTCACTTAACTAAGACAGGTGTCACTGTCCCTTAACTAAGACAGGTGTCACTGTCCTTGCACTGAGACAGAGGTCACTGTCCTTGCACTGAGACAGAGGTCACTGTACTTTAACTAGGACAAGTGTCACTGTATCTTCTCTAAAATAATTATCAAAGTATCATCAGGATCATCACTCAAACAGGTGTCATTTTATATTAAATAAGACTTTTATCAGGTGTCATGTCATTTACTAGGATAAGTGTCACTGTGCCATCACTAGGACAGGTGTTACTATTACTTCTCTCAGACAGGTGTCACTTTACCTTAACAATCTTTTCCACTCCGGAGGAGATGATTAGGTGATTTGCAGGATTGAATCGCACCTGGTTTACAATTGACCTATGACCTTTCAGTATCATATGGGCATCATTCACATATTGTCCTGCAATATTCAAAAGTTTGAGAAACAATGAAACAAAGAATACATGTAAAACAATAAATAAAACCAATCACTTACATGTTATATGCAATATGTATATACATTTCTTCAGCCATTTTGAATGTTTTACACTTTTTTTTCAATTATTTTGTATTATTTTTGTAGTATACCTGTAACAGTCTACAGAACAATTGATTCCCGGAGACAATATAAAAGGACAGAATGGATACCAGCAAACTTACGTTTTGACAGATTTTCTGGAACTTTCCACATGTACAGATTGAAGTCATCAGATCCTGATAAAACATACTGTAAAGAAAACAGAAACATTCTATACTAAAACTGTTTCCTCTTTTCATACGTTAGCATAACCACTTCTTAGTTAACAGTAAATATCGCACAATCAGTGGTATAGCACACTATCTACTACCTAACATTATAGTAAATATCGTACAATCAGTGGTATAGCACACTAGCTACTACCTAACATTATAGTAAATATCGTACAATCAGTGGTATATCACACTAGCTACCACCTAACATTATAGTAAATATCGTACAATCAGTGGTATATCACACTAGCTACTACCTAACATTATAGTAAATATTGTAACAATCAGTGGTATATCACACTAGCTACTACCTAACATTATAGTAAATATTGTAACAATCAGTGGTATAGCACACTAGCTACTACCTAACATTATAGTAAATATCACATAAATAGCAATGATAATCTTTGCCTACATATGAAATTTGAGCAAGATCTATACATTAATTGTCCTGAAATAGTGATAACAAACTTTCAAAGAGAAAATCCAAGATATCAGCCATTTCGTTTTTCTGATCAGTCCCAAAATTAAACCGGCACAACTAGGGACATAGGGAAACCTACATATGACTTATTGTCTTTGCTCTTAATGATCAGAAATTTAAACAGTCTCTGACAGAAAAAGTGATATTCTTAAACTGTGCAATCGAAAATGGCTGCCTGTAGGCCATTTTGTTTTTCTGATAAGTCCCAAAATAAAACGGGCACAATAAGGGACAAAGGGGTACCTGTATAGCAACTTTGAGAAAGAGCTATGCAGTAATTCTCATGAAATAGTGACTACAAACTTTCAAAGTCAAAATCCAAGATGGCTGTCTTTTAGCTTTTTTCTTTTTCTGATCACTTCAAAAATCTAGGGACAAAGGGGAAGCTATTTAGGAAATTTGAGAAAGAGCTATGAAGTAAATCTCAAGAAAAAGCAATATTAAATTCATTGAAAAAATCAAAGATCGCCAATTGTAAGAAATTTGAGAAAGGTCAATTCAGCACTTCTCAAGAAAAAGTGATTACAACAATCATTTATGGACCGACCGATGGACAGACGAAGGGACGGACCAAGGATGCAGGGCGATTTGAAAAAATAAAATAAATCCAACATAGAAATAAAATAAGAAATAAAAAGTAAATGAAAAATTTGTCTTCAAAGAATTTCTTTCAGAAACAAGTCAGTTTGGCGCATCATGAAGTTAATTTCCTGGTTTAGACATCAGAAATCCATAAAATTAGAGCAAAAAATAATGTCAACTCTCAATGTCACATTCCGTTTATTATTACATTAGGAACATGATATTAAGTGGGTTCCAATGTATTGCCAAATTCTCAGTAGACAGAATCTCGCAACATATCCATATCATACTGTATGAATGTTTTTGTTAAATGCTGCATTGAGAGAAATAACTGAAAGGTAATACAAGTAATGTTTAACATTTCTTTTACCTGGTCATTGTCTCCAGCAAATGTACAACTCTTCATGGTGCAGGAATTATAGTATCCACTGTGGTCAAACTCGCACAGAGGCTGTGAACTTGATATGTTATAGAGGACAGGGGGAAGGCGTCGTCGCAGGGCCAGGAGATGCTCACCAGACCGACTAAATCGCACACTCATACAGCTCTGCTGCACATATCCACCTCCATACCGTAGCAGACAGCTAGGGATAGAAATATTGCAATAATCCGTTTACAAAAGACAAGAACTCTACAGTAGTGTCATGTGTAGTCTATAGAGAACATCAAGTAGAACAACCATCAAAGTAACTACATTCTGTAGAGAAGTCCTGTTGATGTTTGTAACTAATTAGCCAATGAACATTTCATTTACTATACAGAAGCATATTTCATAATTCAATTGACAATGACCATGACTTTTGACCTTGAGACTTGAAAAGCAATCCCATGTCAACTTTGTCAGAAAGAAATCAGTGTTCTTGTGATATCTAAACACAAAAATTCTCTAGGAATAAATACTTTTAAAGGAGAAAAGTGAAAACAATCTGTACAAAATGTTCGAAGGAAAACAAGACCGAACAACATATCCGAGAGAGATCTTGGTGACCACCATTGTCGGATCTTTATTTGTTTTTAAAAAGATGGATCTTTTCCCTTTTCTTTTCTTTCCTTTATTTTTCTTCTTAATTAAATAAAATTTTAAAAACCTTCTGAAAAATAGCTATAATAAGCTTTAACTGCCAAATCAGTCAACCCTTCACCATTTCTGTTTTTCTGATCAGTGACAACATCAAACGGGCACAGCTACGGACAACATACATATGATTTGAGAAAGCTCCATCAGTACGGCAAGAAAGTGATAACAAACCTTCGTTGTCAAAATCAAAGATAGCTTGATAGATTAGACCCCAAATCAAACAGGCACAACTGGAGACCATGGGGAAGGTACACATGATATTTGAGAAACATTCATTTAGTAGTTCTCAAGAAATCCCATTAACAAATTTTCATAGTTAATATCCAAGATAGTCACATGCTGACTATTTTGTTTTCTGACTAGTCCACAAATAAGATGATCAGAACAATGGACAAAGAGGAACCTACATATGAAGAGGGATCCATCCAATACTTCTCCTGAATATGCGATAATAAAAATTATCTATGGACAGATGGACCACAGACCATTGATGAAGGGCAGTTTTTATAATACACCATCAATTGATAGTCGGCTAAAAATAATGGCAACATTCTTTCCTTCAATGCCTTACAATAACATCAGGATTTTTTTTCCAGCACAAGCACAATTTTACCAAGGGATATCGAAAATGTTTTGAACCTCATAGCGAATGAACCAGATATTGAAATCAATACTGCTTTATTTTTCAACCTGGTCTCCCTTCCAACAACACACAATTGTCATATGTCCTAGTTTGTCAGTCATTGATACCCAACTGGTAAAACTTTATCATTGTTCACACAACAAGAGACCTTGTGGCCTTGATGGTCACCCGAGATAATCAATATTGAATATAAAGGTTAAAGGATTGTTATTAAGAGTAATAAAACATGGAACTGTATAATTAACAATTTTGGTTCATCTTAGGCCAGGGTAGATTTCTGAATTTCATTGAAATCGAATCGGGGCTTTTTGAGAAGAAGTGGAAAATGTTAAATTGTTAACGGATGCACGCCAGTGTACAACTGTACATACAAGTATTACATACCCAGTGTACAATTGTACATACAAGTATTACATACCCAGTGTACAATTGTACATACAAGTATTACATACCCAGTGTACAACTGTACATACAAGTTTTCCTTACCTGGTATCAAATTGTACAAGCAAGTATTAAACACAGAGTACACATATTTCTTTATTACTATATATGTACAAGATGCTGAAATCAACATTTACACAACTTTATCTCTAGAAATCTTACCTGCGAGGTTTTCGGATATCCCAAAGACCAATGCCTTCCTTTGCGTTTGCTGTTGCTAAAAGACGGGGGTCCACAGGGTTGTACATAACAGCATGCATTGAGGAGGTGTAATTAGCAAGACAAAATGGGTCTGCAGATACAAAAGGAGAAAATATTCAGAAATCATGTGAAGGTACTTTGTCAATTTTTATAGAAGGTACTTTGTCAATTTTTATAGAAGGTACTTTGTCAATTTTTATAGAAGGTACTTTGTCAATTTTTAGAGAAGGTACTTTGTCAATTCTTATAGAAGGTACTTTGTCAATTCTTATAGAAGGTACTTTGTCAATTTTTAGAGAAGGTACTTTGTCAATTTTTATAGAAGGTACTTTGTCAATTTTTAGAGAAGGTACTTTGTCAATTTTTAGAGAAGGTACTTTGTCAATTTTTAGAGAAGGTACTTTGTCAGTTTTTATAGAAGGTACTTTGTCAATTTTCAGAGAAGGTACTTTGTCAATTTTCAGAGAAGGTACTTTGTCAATTTTTATAGAAGGTACTTTGTCAATTTTTAGAGAAGGTACTTTGTCAATTTTTATAAAAAAAATATTGTTTGTGATTTAAAGCTTTTCATGTTTTCAAAATCTTGATAGCCTAGTACTAGTGGGATTTTTTTCAATCAATTAAATCATTGAACATAAATGAAGTTCATGTGCAAATCTTTATATGACATCAGAGATTGTTTGATCCAGTATTAAGTTAGTGAAAACTGGCTTTCATTGTTGATGATGATGGCTAAAAACTAAATAAAGAAAATGATCTAACCACTGCTAGGTGGTTCACGAATGTCATACACAAGGATACGTCCATCATCACATGCGCTAGCAAACACACTGATATTGTTGGGGTCGACACTAAGACTGTACACAGCATCCTCATGTGTAAACACATCCAAAGTATCTCCCCTGTAAAGTAAGGACACTTTTGTAATTCCATGTAATCAAAATCTAGGCAAATATTAACATTAAATTTTGTATTTTCCTGTCAAAATCTTTCAAACATGCTGATCTATTTCTGAAGGACTTTAGTAAAAGGAAACTTGCAAGTGAACTATTCATTAATATACTCACTTTTTCAAAACTTGTTTTAAGATATTGAAATTGCCATACCAATTAACATGAACTGATTTCTAGCTGTATAATACCTTATATCAGGCAGAAACCACCAGAGTATATATATACCTAACTAATAAAAAAAGGTTGTCAAAATTTGTTTTGGCAGCAGCTATGTCAGACTTCAGTGAAATACGGTAGTTGATGGGTCAAAATATTCAGGAAAATATCTGCTTATGGATGTTTAAATGCCATTCAAAATCTGATAGTAACCATTGGCTAGGAACACAGCGTTACAGCGCTGGTGCATGAAGCCTGTATATCATTGAATGGTGTGAAGCGGGATAGCGTTCCACTCATTCTTCTATGTCTGATCCAGTCCTTGTAAGCTGGAGGGCGGATTTCGCCGACATGGTACTCATCCTCCAAGAATATCTCAGATGTGCTCTATTGGGTTCAGATCTGGGATTTTGTAGGCTAATTCAAAAACTTAAAACTTGCTGTAAGTACCCCCTAGTCACATGACTGGTACAGGATGTCGCATTATAATGCTGTGAATGCCGTAAAATGGAAGGATGACTGGTGCTACAGAGGTTTGGGCTGCTTAGTTGGTGATGTTTCAGCCTGTTACGGAGGGTTGGGCTGCTTAGTTGGTGATGTTTCAGCCTGTTACGGAGGGTTGGGCTGCTTAGTTGGTGATGTTTCAGCCTGTTACGGAGGGTTGGGCTGCTTAGTTGGTGATGTTTCAGCCTGTTACGGAGGGTTGGGCTGCTTAGTTGGTGATGTTTCAGCCTGTTACGGAGGGTTGGGCTGCTTAGTTGGTGATGTTTCAGCCTGTTACGGAGGGTTGGGCTGCTTAGTTGGTGATGTTTCAGCCTGTTACGGAGGGTTGGGCTGCTTAGTTGGTGATGTTTCAGCCTGTTACGGAGGGTTGGGCTGCTTAGTTGGTGATGTTTCAGCCTGTTACGGAGGGTTGGGCTGCTTAGTTGGTGATGTTTCAGCCTGTTACGGAGGGTTGGGCTGCTTAGTTGGTGATGTTTCAGCCTGTTACGGAGGGTTGGGCTGCTTATTTGGTGATGTTTCAGCCTGTTACGGAGGGTTGGGCGTCTTTATCTGTCCACCAAGCAAAGTCCTAACTGTTATGGTTGTAAGAAGAAATTGATCCTGATGATGCTGCAGCATTCATACCATCTTCACAGAGGATGGTGAGTCATGGTCAGCTGCTCCAGTCAAATGTTGAAATGATAAATGACATACTTCCTTTTAGCTATACCCTTTGTGTTGCGCTGACTTGGAGCATGCAAATAGCACTTTACCTTTCTTCTTTTGACACTTACAACATTGTGTTTAATGTATACAATTTCTACCCACATGAAGATTTTTTAAGTAATAAAGGTTTTGATAAAGTGCATATCTTTGAAGCGTTTTACAAAATTCAACGGAACAAATCTTGAATAAAGTGAAAGAAATTTGTTCTATGAGACAATCTTTGAATTTTACACCTGACTGACTTCAATAAAAATGTTGGCATCATCTCCGGAGGTTCCTACAAATAAATCATTAACTGAAAATATTGTATAATCAACCAATGTTTGTGTAAGGCCCGGTAACTTGATAACCTTTTTTCATTGTTTAGTATATAAACAGTCTGAAATGAGTCTTAAATCTCAGAAGTTTTTGAGAAGCTTGCCTCCATGCATTGTCTGAATTATCAAATCTTACAAAATATTCACATTATCATAATATCCATTTATCTCTAGCATTCATACCTAAAGCTTTGACCAAAACATCAAAAACATATACATACTATATTAAACAGCATCTTAGTAACATTTCAATGTATATATACCTTTAGTGTCAAAACAGGCAGTGACTGAATCAATTAAACATAAGGTCCTAACAAAACTAAAAAATATGGAAAAGATATGACATACTCACGTTGAAATATCATGCACAATTACTTGCTCATCATTTCCTAAAAAATAATAAAGTAAGAATTAAAGTTGTATAAAGGAAGATCTATAATAATATTATAATAATAATACACTTCCACCACAATAAACTATAAATATATTGTAAAATACCCCTGCGGCCCTGAGGCCTGAAAGTCCCCTGACTGAATCCCAGTTTATCAACACATGGTATCAACTTCTGCTCCTTAATGTAGGAAATTTCTTCTATAGAAATAGGCTGTACATTTGTATAACAAGGAAAGAATTGTACTGGCTATTATTACAAACAATGGGAATGTTATACCAGACTAATCAGACCTCGACATATTCATCAGAAGAGATCCTCCACAACAGGGACATTTCCCCACTATCAGATGATCGTTATTGCTGCTATGATTTTTCCCCCCTTTAGGATCTGTTGAAATTGGCAGTTATAACACTATATCGACATTCTGATGGTAAATCTACAACTCAAATCAGTGTGTGATTATCTTGTTCGGCCATGTCAAGACAGAAAGCCAAATGAGCCTCATGGGTCCATTACACTCAACATCATTTTTCATGCTTAAGCTGGAGTTTCTATTGCTTTTATTGTTGCAAATGTCCAGAACTCAAGACAATTCTGTGAAATTCAACAAGAGTCCCAACAGGCTTGCATAACTTACCTGGCTAATTTAGCTATTCAGCCATTTGATAAAGAATTTGAAACATGACAAACAATTTCTTGTATGATAACCTTATTGGATCCTGGCCTTGTGGTCAAAAAGATACCAGATTCACTATTCATAAAAATTACTACAGACCAAACTTGTAAAGAAGGATTTTTACGAACTTACATTTTCCCAGTTGACCCATCCCTCCCACTCCAGGGGGCCGGGAAGCACTGTTTATAAATACAGAAATGATTCCTCTTTACCCAATAAAACTTGAGACCAAATTAGGGCAAAATCCAATCATTCCGACAGGAGGAGTGGGATGTTAAATAATTTACTCTATTTCCCCTATTGGGCCCCGCCCCTCCAGTCCTAGGAGACTGAGATCCTACATCCTTGCAAGATTGATTCCCTTCATCAATGAATGTTTAGACCAAATTTCGGCAATATCTATTCATTCCTATACAGGAGGAATAGGATATTGGGCTCAGCCCATGGCCCCTGGGGGCTGAAAACCAATTTTTTTATACAAAGTTGGTTCCCCTTTCCCCAAAGGATGCTTTAAACCAAATTTGGTAAAAACTTGTTTAGTTGTTCATAACTACTAATGATTTTTAGTAAAATATTGACAAATGCCGGATGCTGAAGGGACGACAGAGGCTGCACCATGGCATAAGCTCACCATTCCTTTGGACCAGGTGAGCTAAAAAGAGCAGACTTTTTTTGGTAACTTTTAATGTTTTCAAACACTAACTGTACAAACTACACTAAAGCCTTTTGTATTCTTTATATGTCAAATTTAAAAACTGCATGAGACTGCATAGAAATCAAAATCTGTTATTGCCTTGATTGGGAAAAGGCATTTTCTTGAACATGAAATTAAATATTGTTGTCCATGGTAAGTGGATTTTTATAGCTGTTTCAGCTCATGATAAGTATATCTTACCACCAGAAAATATCTTTCTGTTTTCATAATCGAAGGCAAGGCAGAATATGTTGCTGTTGTGTTCACCCTTCATGAAGACTGGTTTGCCAATGTTAGCGAGTGCGCTCTGGACATTCCATAATAAAACACGACGATCATCACCACCTGAAGGAACAGACAAATGAATCAAATATTTCATCTCATAAGTATGTGCTGTAATCCATCAATATTTTACAATACATATGCTGTGGTTTAGTCGCATTCTGAATGTTTTCTGAATGTCCTTTCATAGTTATTCATATGGCATTTTTATGAAAGCTTATAATTAGGCTAAACTTTTGTCTACCTTGGGACGTCATCACAGAAAAGTCAGTAAAACTCTACAGATCAAGTAAAGATTTTTTTTCACATCTATATCCACTTAAGGAAATTTGAGGTGAAAATTTTTTTGAGCAACATCAATCTTTCAAAAAAAAAAAAAAATCAAAATAATGTCAAATGTATCGAAGAACAAGAGTATCAGTGAAACTGATGAATGCTCCCCAAAAACAACTTTAATAGGCACAAAACTTCAACAAAGGGCAATCATTCTGTAAATAAGAGGTTTCAGGCATTAAAATTGGTACACTGCATGATCATTGTATACATTTCATTTTCATCATTCTAGTAATAATGCATCAATTCAAAGTAATATGCTCTGATTCAGAAAATTTTAAGAAAGGGCAATAACTTATTAATGTAGGAGTTGTGAGCTCTTAATTTTGTACAGACCGATGTTCATGACAACATTACAATGGTACAGGTGTAAATCTTTGAACACTAATAATACCTAAGTAATTTAGGTATCAAATTTCTATTACAAAATCAGATAATTTGTCAACCATAATCTGATTAATTTAAGTGATCTTACAAAAGGTTGATGTCATACACACGTGAAAAGAACATTCCAATTTTATGTTTCTATTCAAATATCTCCCTACCAAACGAATATTTGAATATTCATTGCCATCCCTATTTACCACTGTACCTTAAATTAGCATTAGGGTGTGGTTTCATCAACTGGAATCTATATCCCAATATATCAAAATAATGTCTGTCAACACTGGAAAACTTAACATGAGATATGATTACCTTGTAAATTAGATTTCACACTAGGAGTCCAAGTCTAGAATGTTTAAAAAAAAATACAGAACATTTTCACAAAAATTATTTATAATGTCTCCATGAAGTAATGAGTTACACAGAAATAGAAACACTCAAGCCAAATACATCAGTATCCTTGTACACTTATAAAGTAACTTATTGACACCTGTACCAAAATCTTAACATTCTATTTGACATAAGTAGAAAATACTGATTTTCTTCCATAAAATTATTCATTTCAATAGAGAAGTAATAGTTATCCCAAACATTAATCCGCAAACCAAATATCAGTTCCCTAGTACCATTGTATTTAGTGATACCTAGCTTTAAATGCTTGCACCAAAGCCTTAACATCAGATTTGATATTTAAAGGCCCATAGGGCCTGTATTGCTTACCTGATTTAGTTTGCTGAAATTGATTAATTCATACTAAAGAGAATGTATTAAAAACAATTAATTTTATTTCCTCTATTAGTTCCTACCTCTTTAGATTGTTAAGAATTTGTTAAATTTCTCCTATTGGGACCTGCCCCTTCTTACCCCCAGGGGGCGAGCCTCTCCATTTATACAAAATTTGGGCAAGACCCAATCATTCCTAGAGGTAGAGTTGGATTTTAAAGAATTTGCTCTATTTCCCCTATTGTGCCTCGCCCTCCCCCTCCCGTGCTAGAGGGCCGAGACACTCTTTTCACAAAGGATGCTTCAGACTGAATTTGGTGAAAGTCAAGTTTGTTCATGGTTAGTAGTGATTTGTAGAAAAAGTTGACGGACAGACAGATGCTGCAGTCTGACAAGCTCACTGATCCTTTGAAGACCAAAGCCTCATATCTCTACGAGATTTGTAAACTGATGTAAACTGCTCTCAGACTACCAATAGTTGACCCCACAATCTGGGTCAAAAGTTGACAGGCAAAAAATGATGACATCAACAAAATAAATGCGTTTTTGAATGTAATTGATCAATGTTACCAATCATATTTGTGCTTACAGAGAGGAAATGTGTAAATACTGTGGCCAAATTACCCTCAATTTTCTTTGATGTCACAGTATATGAACATGTATCTTGAGGACACATCAGTAGTTGAAAAGCAAAAGTACAAAATGTAAACACAACAGATTTTTACTGTTTTCTAACCACTATTATTCTGTGATATTTGTGTTTATAACCACATTAATTTATGTGATCATTTTTCATGTGAAAAAAACATTTCTTTTCAAAATACTGATGCAAATTACAAAACAGTAATGGCATGAGCTGTTTACAGAAGTGTTATTTATTGGGGTACTACGAGAGAGATTTCACTGCCCCAAGTATGAAGTTCATGTATCAAATACAAGTAGCATAGAGAATAGTGCCCTGAAAAACTCTTAAATGTAGGCCAAAGGTCAAAATGCATCTCCGTCAAAGTGATCTACTTTTAGAACATGACACACTGCTTCCCCATGGTGAACACATGCCCCAGCTATGAAGTTCAAGAAGACAAGAAGTGTATACGTAGGAGATGAGTGGAAGGACAGATGAACAGACACTTCTGCGTGGACTGTCATACAAAGCTATAGATATATGTCATATTAACTGCAGCTTTGTCTGACCATCCATGATTATCTATCACAAACATATTCCTCAGGAGATGATTTAATCACTGTTCACTGTATGGCTACAAAAGACCTTGATTATCCTATTACCTGGCAAACATTGTTGTACCTACAGCAGAATGAACCCAGACTTTTTTTTAATCTTTATATCAAACCATTTGGATAAATCAATTTGTGGAGTAAGTTAATGGGGTCAATTCATAGCAATCTAAAAGTCCGTCCATTGTTCTTGTATATGTGAATAAATTATTTCATGACAACAAAAATCTGTCAGTTTGAAACAATGAAGACTATACTTAACCTCCGGAGGCTTCTAAATTTCTATTTCCCCGTCCGTGACCTCGGAAATTTCATTAATCCTCCTCTAAACTGTATATTTTATTTAAAAGGTGGGGGTTGGGGTGGGGAATTACAATGTACAACATTGAAAATAAAGCATTGGTCAATTGCCTGCAAAATTCATGTTCCTGTTTTCGCTCTGGCATTCAAGAATAAAACATCTGATAGCACACTGATGACGTCAACTTCTAAATGTAAATTTCACATACTCGTGACAAATCTTCAAAATAACAAAATTAGCGTTCCATCGACTTTGTTTACCTGATGCAATCGACTGACCGCCGCCATTGGAGAATTCTATAGCGTTGACACAACCATAGTGTTCTTTTAGATCTTTTCGATACAGTCCGCGAGCACACCGAATCCGATGTCTCATCATAAGCCGCTCTGGTTGTTTACATTTTTTGTCCACTCCGCGACCCGCTACATAAGACAGCGTGCTGTAAACAACCTCCTTTCTACATTTAGACGAACGTCCAGACATCTTAAGGTGTTACCGATGACTAGCACATTTAAAACGATACGATTTTCATCTCACAAGAAACCGTTTTGACAGGTGACATCCATGTTTTCAATTCCGAAGCTGAATAGCTCTCTTCGGTTATTTTCGGAGGAAGTAGATAGTTATCTCCCCTTCTAAGTGTAACATTAACGCTCAAGGTAGGCTAGTCGATTCCTTCAGATTTTATAGGATAAAACTTGACTAAATGACTTATGTTTTAATGGTAGATAAAGTATACATACACCTTAACAAATACATAAAAACACATTTATCACCATGATGCTTTTACTTCTAAGACAACATGTAGATATATAGTTATAAACGTCAGCTCCAGTCAGACAATTTTACGGAATTAAACATTTTGTTCGGTTAATTATCTTATAAAACACGGTCAATAATATACATATCGCATAAAAATAATTGAAATGAACAATTAAATGCATAAATTTCCTTAAAATTTTATATGTTTTGGTAATTTAAACATAATTGTCCATTTTGCTGTCAAATCTGTTCTCTTTTAACTGACAAAATTGGCCGAAATCCATGCTTTTCCTTTTATTTTTCAGTTTTTATGGAATAATTATCCAATTTTCCAATTTCTTTTCAGACGTTGACATAAATACATTAAAATAAACAAATAAAAAGCACATATCACCATGATCGAATATAATACCGGAAGGCCTCGTATTTCTCCATTACCTATGTTCAGCTCTCGGTTATCGTGCGACACCTGATTAAAGCAAAACGAACATTTGTACCCGTCCGTGCGTCTGTCTTACAGTATTGTAATTATAATGATGATTAATTGACTCATTTACACCTCTCGATTAAACAACAGCACATCTGATTTTCCCTTCAAAAAGTACAAACATGGACTAGTCTAAGGCGTTTGTTACCATTACTTTAATCCGTTTCACAAGTTCTATATAAAATAAATATGTTATCAAAATAAAAACTATTACTTTTTACGATGTGCATAATTGATGATAAATCAGACATATAAAAGTCAACAACCAGACATACACTAATGAAATAATTAAAAGATTAGGATATATAATTAACTTAGAACTTCATTTAGTCGTAACAATTAAGAATACATAAAAATTAATTATAAAAAAAATTGAAACTAGATAAGTATATATATGTATACATATGTTAAGTACATACATATTCTTTACATGATCTGTGTGTAAATATTAACAGACAATACCCGATAGATTAAGTATGAATATTGACTACAAGGAGAATTTAATATTGAAGCAAAAGATATGTTTTTAATTCTTTTTTGAACAACAAAAGTCTGTTGGAACATTTCAGTTTAGAGAAAGATTTGATTACAAAGTTTAAGAAGAATCGTGTAATAGTGTATGGAATCGACTCGTTATTTGAGGATAACTTGGCCGACGTTCAAAACCTGGCACCATTCAATGACGGTGTAATATCATTTAGTCTTAATTGATGGTTTTTGTGGGTAGTACCATTAAAAAACGAATAAGGTAAAACTATCGTCAATGTCATCAAATACATATTTGAGCAGTGAAGAAAGTCAAGGACAGCTCGCTTTGACAAAAGGACGGAGTTTCAAAATGTTCAGGTGAAGAAATACCTAGAGAATGAGAACATATAGGTACAAACAAGGATTCCACAAAGGCAAATTACACCGAGCGCGTAATGCGGACGCTGATAAAGTTAATATACAGACACTTCACATTCAAATAAATATACAGATACATTGTTGTACTATAAAATCTGGTTTCAAGTTAAAACAACAGACCGCAGAGATCACGTGATCGGCTTGTCCCCTTCTAGCATGAGTTAATCAGACAGATTATGAATGACACTGGATCCATGAACTGTTTATCGTAGATCAAAGATATTTTAGGCAACACAAGCCAGTCTATGAATTGAAAGATTATGCAAATGAGGAGATATCGGGAACTCTTTATAAAAAGAAATGCAAAATGAGAATTCCAATGTCGAGACCAAATATTGCGTGGAAAAGGTTTTGAGGAAAAGGAATTATCCTTACTATCATTTCAATTAACTTTATATTAGCAAATTTTACTGACAAAATATGTCACAAAAATTTAGTAAGTAGGACCGAACAACAGACAGAGCCTATCCAGCACTTAAGAAGGTATTGAATCATACACGTGTCATCTTCGTTCACGATTGGTAACACCGATGTCTTCTTTTTGATGGAATCGGAGACGTCCTTAATCCGTCTCATACCGCTTCCCTTCCATGGATGGTACCGACGTCGATATCTTTCGGTGCTTGCTAATTCCTTGTGACTTTGAGACACCTTTTCAACATGTTCCATGCCTATATCGGCAGCAAGCTCCTGATGTAAGGGAAGCACGATGGCATTACTGAAGGTCGGGTGGTGTCGAGGACTCGCCCGACATTGTTGTCTGCTGTCTCTTGCTTGGCGTCCACCAATATATCTTGGGGTTTTCCGTGTATATCTTTTAATTTTTTGTCGTTCCATAATATCTTTGTCTAAGTGTACTTCATATGTAGTATCGACACCCGCTTAAGTTTCAAAGTGTTTTTCTGGGACTTTTTTCAAGTGGTAAGGCCTGGATGGTCTCGGTTACCCACCGCCATATTGGTAAAGTCTTGCATGGTTTACGTCTTCTTGCATGTCTTAAATAGGGTGGTAGACCCAGTTCAATTTTACGCTCTTGCCATTTTAACACCAACAGTTTTTGTTTTATGAAAGAAGCATATTTCATGCCAGTTTATTCTTCCACTTTCTCGCTCCTGTCGAAGGTATCCACTATAGTTTTTCAATTCGGGAAAATGTTTCATTCTTCAAAAGAGAGAAGAAAAGTACGTGAAATGAGAAAGGTACAAAGAATGTTAACTCTAAAATCTGACCATGAACAACAATTATTCCATTGAGGGTACCTTCAGTGTTTTGATTGACAAAGAAGTTTGAAGGAGGTTAGTGCATTAGCGTAAAACCATAGCTAAAGTGTGGAACCAGAGACGTATATATCACGTGATATATACGTCTCTGGTGGAACGTAATAATATGATACATCGTTATTAAACGCTCATTACATCGTGCTGAAGAAAAACTCGGGGAAAACCTTACCGATGGCAGCCAGCATGGACACAACTCGCCAACCTCACGGTTATTTGGTCGTCGATTTAAAACAAGACACATCCAGCTTTACGTACGCGAATATTTCTTGGAGAATATCAGTTCGTGTACCATTAAAAGGCTATATAAAAGATGTTTTGGAAAGTAAAAGTCATTTTGCGAAAACGTCCTCCTATCTCGAAAAGCATTGTAAAGAAATTGTAAAGTATTTCTGCCGATCTAAACCTTCATACGTAAAGCCATCCCCGAAAAAACCGATAAAGTTTCATTTACTCGTTATGTGAGTGCATTCAAAACATTCTACTAGATCAGACTTTAACAACAACAGCACTGGTTATTGTTTGGTCAGAAATTGTACAGAGAAGAAGTTGTTTTCTTTTGTCAAGTCGTCATTGTATACATCGTCTGTAGTATATATCATTTAAGTATCTTTAGAGTCTATATGGGTTTCCTTGTTGGGTGGTGGTATCGGATAGTCGAGGGCGGTAATGGAAACTTTGTCAGTGTGGAATTCGTTCTCGAAGGTGCAGTAAGACTACACGTTAAAGCAGGTTATCATCCTAACGCGATCAATATTTGAGAATACCTATGGGGTACCAAACCAATGATATCGCACGGAGGTCTCAATCAAAGGATGGTACTGACGGTAGCTCCCATGTAGACGAAACTGTTAGGTTTCGAATCTTCAAAACTTTTTAGAAGGTCAGCACACCGGAAGGAATATGGCCGACATTTGTCAAGGTCTTTATTCAATCTGCGTCTTCTGTCCTTTGGTGGAACCGCAGATAGTAGGTGATTCGAGGGTTCCCCTGGTCACAATAATTCCCAAGGTAATCCGGGACACATCTTCAGTAAATAATTTCAACCTATTCACTATTTGCCGTTGCAATAACGACAATGTCAAGAAACACAAATCATGTTGAGAGAAGATACAGGTATATCCATCCCATTCGAAGGAGAAAACATTGTCATCACCTCCCATCTCAGAAGACGTCCGTTAAGCTTGATCAACCAGATGTAAAGAGTCAAAAATGTGTGAAAACGTTCAAATTAAAAAACAACGATGAAAATTTCTTGCAAAGATATTTTAAATCTTTCCTCGGGAGTAGAGGCAGACCTCTATAATAAAGAACATCCAGACTGGGTCCACACTGTCAATATGGGCATGAGGACTACTACAGTCTAAAGGCAAGGTCTGCTTGTCCCCTGACTACCAGCATCATATAGTAAAGCAACTGATGCAGCAAGGTCATTATTACTTTGAATGAAACAAATCAGTCAACTGTGATTCATCGGCATACAGAAGCTCAAACACATGTAGCCGTTTTATATGGATTCACTGCTGGAGGAAGTTGAACATCTGCGTTTAGAAAATGGCAAATTGCAAGACAAAGTGGAGAGACACAAAAAGTCTTTTGATGAAAAAAATAGAAAAAAAAAGATGAGAGGGTCAGGTATTTTACGGAACTGCCTTCGTTCGTTGTGCTGTGGTATCACTGAAAGGTTTATCTGAAGGTTAACCTACCTATGAAGAGAACTCTTGAGTGATTTCCAACATTGATACCTGCACTCATCGAATTGTGATTAAATGCGTCTATATCCTTTTTAACATTTGAATTTACAATTTCAACTGCATGTCGTGTCTTTTGCGACGTTATTAATGTCATGTACACTGCAATTAAATCCTTGTCTTGCCGGCAAAGGAAGAACTGAAAAAACATGCCAGTGCAGCTCAGAAATATGTTGGGGACAAAATGTCCTGTTGTCATTGACTGAAAAAACATGCCAGTGCAGCTCAGAAATATGTTGGGGACAAATTGTCCTGTTGTCATTGACTGAAAAAACATGCCAGTGCAGCTCAGAAATATGTTGGGGACAAATTGTCCTGTTGTCATTGACTGAAAAAACATGCCAGTGCAGCTCAGAAATATGTTGGGGACAAAATGTCCTGTTGTCATTGACTGAAAAAACATGCCAGTGCAGCTCAGAAATATGTTGGGGACAAAATGTCCTGTTGTCATTGACTGTTTAGAAGTATTCATAGAACCACAATCAAATCTGAAAACAAGGGCAGAAACATGTTTACCTTACAAGCACCGCAATACAATTCAATTATCAATTGAAATTACACTTCAGTGTACTGTATCTTGTATATCCAAAGCATGGTAGAACTGGTGACAAATATATAACTGAACATTGTGGATTTCTTGTTAATATTTTACCAGGTGGGTTTTAGCGGAGAGGATTTGATAGGCAAGATACAATTTGTGTGATGACGGCTTTTTATAACGGGGAAAGACCAGCTAGCACCTGTTGTCTTAGAGACAACAAAAAGGATTGCTCATGTTTGGATCCATATTGAACGTTTTATTGGATTGTTCGTCAGAAGTATATTAATCTAAACAATACATTACCATTAGACCTCCTTATTTGCAAGGAACATGAAACTCTGGCTATAATTGATAAAATTGGTGTTGTTGCATGTGCATAAGGTGAATCTGGGTGAGTCTGTTGTTGACTTCAATTAGTTCAAAATACATGTTGTGTAATTACTTAAAAGAATTATCACACATTTTCCAGATGTGTAATGGAAAAGTTGACTAGACTATTAGTTATAATTCTAACTTAACTGATATATCGGAGCACGTTTTTAAATGTTAAACATCACCATTTTTTAACATAGTCATACATCTTACTCCTATGAAAATTGAGAACACTGTAATTATCTTAAAATTTACCTCTAATGGGTTCAGACTACCATTTTCAACATTTTGTAGAGTTAAAAAATTGTTTTAAAGATTTTAACAAATTTGACTCCTGTGACCTTGAATATATGTCGAGGTAATTTCTTTTCACAAACATTGTCAGGCTTTATCCTAGAAACATACCAGCAAATTATCTAAGCCTTTGGTCCATTTGTTATTGATAAGAAGTTGTTTAAAGGGAAAAGTTTATGCTGGTCGGCATAAGCTCACTTTGCCCTTCAGGCCAGGTAAGCTGATATCCATCCAAACACACACTGGAGGATTTGAGACTCCGAATTTCACCTATATCTATATCACTGTATAATAATCCCAATACACTGTATCATGATTTGAACACACTTTACTGGTGAATGAACTAGTTAATTGTGCCATGTTTAAATTTTTTGAGATATGATACAAAAAACATTATACAATTAGAATACAGAATGGAGGTGATTGTAGCAACTCTTCATACTATAAAATAATCATAGACTCTATACAAGTCGAATACAAGGGATTATCAACCCTCGGAAAGTAATATTCAATAAAACCGAGACTTGATAAAGCCTTGTATTAACCTCATAAACAGACTGATTGTATTATTGTACAATCACCTCCATTCTTTCTTCTGCAAACCTACTCTTGCAGTCCATCATTGTGTACAAACTGTCATCTGACTTGTAGGGAAATCACTGGAAGTTTTACACGTGACGTCATGCAAAATTTTTCATTGGCTGACAAAGGAATTCTGGTTTTATTTTTAGACCTAGGTTAATAAATTCTCACATGAGGTTTGCAAAAATCATTTTTGAAGCATCTGCTTTATTTCTATAGTGACTTGTATTTTGTTAATCTGACAAGCAAATCTGAGTGAATACTTTACAATGTCTTAACCTGTGAGAAGTATTTCGACAAATCAGAATACCATAAAAAATACAGTCATACAAGGAGTAATTATGTTACATTCTTGTTGTAAACATTGTAGATATATTTTGCATTTACATACAGACCATCACTTATTAAAAGTGTACCTGACAAGATGACAAAGCTGCTTGATACACAATTTTTCATGGTTTTATTTATTTCATCCTGATCATAACATGATACACAATGCTGAATCACTTTACCATAAAAATTATTGAATGAAGAATAATCAGAAATGGATGTAGCTGAAACTTCTTGAAAGAGCTTGCATTTGATGACACTGTATTCTGCTGGTTGGTCATTCTGCCAATGAAAAAATAAAGAAAAGAACAATTCACATGGAACTGAAATGTTGGTATGATAATCAAAACAGACATAGCAACCAAATATCATGCCTCTAGACCTTTTAGTTCATGAGAAGTTGTTTAAAGGTTTTAACAAATCTGACCTCAGTGACCTTGAATATAAATCAAGGTAATTTTTTTTTTGCAAACTTTGTCAGGATTCATCCTAGGAACATACCTGCCAAATATCAAAACATTTGGTACATTGGTTATTGAGAAGAATGAAGGAAACAGTTGGTGCTGGACGCCAGATGATGGATGAATGATGGATGCCACACCACGGCATAAGCCCTTGGGCCAGTGAGTTAATAATGATAATGATAGTAACAATAATGATAATTCAATAAGTACCTATATGATAATACTATGTTAATGACCTTAGCAACTGCACAACAACTGAACTGAGTACGTATTGATTAACTCGGATGATCTGACCACATGAGGACATTCTACATGGTTGATTTGCCAAAACATTTGCTATTTAATTTCAATGTCCTAAGTCCATCTAGGCTGCAATTTCAAAATACTACATCATGCACTGAAGCATATTGGAGTTTGAAAGAGTCAGTACTGCAAAGCTTCTAAGTGAATTGGAAAATACTCCAGAAATTTATTGACTATTTTTTCCTTAAGTTCAAGCTAATACCAGATTGTTTATAGGTTAGTTGCTTACGTACAGTTGATCAAACATTTATTAAGTTTACGATACTCCAGCCATAGTTTAAAGAAAAGAGCACTGTTATGGCTGTGTGTTCAATACTATTATTCCTTATTGAGATAATAACAAGAAGATACATATTGTATATGGGTGATTGAGAGTAGATACACACTGTATGTGAGTGTAAGAAGAATATACCAAGTAGATACCTACGGTATATGGGTAGTTGAGGTAGGTGAAGTGTATAGGATTGATGAGGTCTGATTCCACATTGTTACTTCCGGTGTTATGGTGCTGCTTTCTGGAAGATAAAATGTAAGAAAATTGTCTTAAGCACATTGCTGTTCCCACTCCATATACATTAATGACAGGACGATGTTTCAGGTTAATTATCCTACCAAAACATGTAACTATTGTCTGCCTGGTTACAAGGGTGCAAGGCCCAAGCACCCTATATTGATGGATCTTTCCTTGAAGACTTATATATTTAATTACATGAAGAAGTCTATAGGGCCTGCATTGCTCACCTGAATGGTCCAGCAATTCACAGTTATATTTCAAGGAATTTTCTAAAAGTCAATCATTCCTACAGGAGGATTAGGATTTTCAAGAATTTGTTCTATTTCCACTTTTAGGCCCACCCCTTCTGCCCCAGGGGGCTGAGACCCACCATTTATACAAAATTCAGTCTCCTTCACCTGAAAATACTTCAGACCAAATTTGGGCAAAGTCATATCACTCCTACTGAAGAAGTTGGATTTTAAAGAATCGGTTTTATTTCCCCTACTGGGCTGTGTCTCTCCTGCTCCAAGATCAGAAACCTGCCATTTACACAGAATTGATTCCCCTTCACCAAAAGGAAGCTTAAATTCAGATAAAATTAGGGCAAATTCAAATAATTTGTACAGGGGGATTAGGATGTTAAAGAATTTGTAAAATTTTTATACTGAGGAACAGCTGTTGCTGGTTGTTTCATTCAACGATAACTTTATAACAGCATTAAGTGGGTAACATCTGTCTATAATGAACTGCATAGTGTAGCAGCTTGTGTAAACTGTACATACAGATCTCATTGTTGGAGGGATTACTACAATACAACCTGTCTATAATGAACCTGTATATTGTATCAAACTTGTGTAAACTGTACATACAGATCTCACTGTTGGAGGGATTATTACAATACAACCTGTCTATAATGAACCTGTATAAATGTATCAAGCTTGTGTAAACTGTACATACAGATCTCACTGTTGGAGGGATTATTACAATACAACCTGTCTATAATGAACCTGTATAATGTATCAAGCTTGTGTAAACTGTACATACAGATCTCACTGTTGGAGGGATTATTACAATACAACCTGTCTATAATGAACCTGTATAAATGTATCAAGCTTGTGTAAACTGTACATACAGATCTCACTGTTGGAGGGATTATTACAATACAACCTGTCTATAATGAACCTGTATAATGTATCAAGCTTGTGTAAACTGTACATACAGATCTCACTGTTGGAGGGATTATTACAATACATTTCTATAATGAACCTGTATAAATGTATCAAGCTTGTGTAAACTGTACATACAGATCTCACTGTTGGAGGGATTATTACAATACAACCTGTCTATAATGAACCTGTATAATGTATCAAGCTTGTGTAAACTGTACATACAGATCTCACTGTTGGAGGGATTATTACAATACAACCTGTATATAATGAACCTGTATATTGTATCAAACTTGTGTAAACTGTACATACAGATCTCACTGTTGGAGGGATTATTACAATACAACCTGTCTATAATGAACCTGTATAGTGTAGCAGCTTGTGTAAACTGTACATACAGATCTCACTGTTGGAGGGATTATTACAATACAACCTGTCTATAATGAACCTGTATAGTGTAGCAGCTTGTGTAAACTGTACATACAGATCTCACTGTTGGAGGGATTATTACAATACAACCTGTCTATAATGAACCTGTATAGTGTAGCAGCTTGTGTAAACTGTACATACAGATCTCACTGTTGGAGGGATTATTACAATACAACCTGTCTATAATGAACCTGTATAGTGTAGCAGCTTGTGTAAACTGTACATACAGATCTCACTGTTGGAGGGATTATTACAATACAACCTGTCTATAATGAACCTGTATAGTGTATCAGCTTGTGTAAACTGTACATACAGATCTCACTGTTGGAGGGATTATTACAATACAACCTGTCTATAATGAACCTGTATAATGTATCAAGCTTGTGTAAACTGTACATACAGATCTCACTGTTGATAGCAGCTTGTGTAAACTGTACATTGATTATTACAATACAACCTGTCTATAATGAACCTGAGCTTGTGTAAACTGTACATACAGATCTCACTGTTGGAGGGATTATACAATACAACCTGTCTATAATGAACCTGTATAATGTATCAAAGCTTGTGTAAACTGTACATACAGATCTCACTGTTGGAGGGATTATTACAATACAACCTGTCTATAATGAACCTGTATAGTGTAGCAGCTTGTGTAAACTGTACATACAGATCTCACTGTTGGAGGGATTATTACAATACAACCTGTCTATAATGAACCTGTATAGTGTAGCAGATTGTGTAAACTTTACATACAGATCTCACAGTTGGAGGATGATAATAACAATACAACCTGTCTATAATGAACCTGTGTAAAGCTTGTGTAAACTGTACATACAGATCTCACTGTTGGAGGGATTATTACAATACAACCTGTCTATAATGAATAATGTAAGCTTGTGTAAACTGTACATATCTCACTGTTGGAGGGTACAACCTGTCTATAATGAACCTGTATAGTGTAGCAGCTTGTGTAAACTGTACATACAGATCTCACTGTTGGAGGGATTATTACAATACAACCTGTCTATAATGAACCTGTATATAGTATCAGCTTGTGTAAACTGTACATACAGATCTCACTGTTGGAGGGATTATTACAATACAACCTGTCTATAATGAACCTGTATAATGTATCAAGCTTGTGTAAACTGTACATACAGATCTCACTGTTGGAGGGATTATTACAATACAACCTGTCTATAATGAACCTGTATAGTGTAGCAGCTTGTGTAAACTGTACATACAGATCTCACTGTTGGAGGGATTATTACAATACAACCTGTCTATAATGAACCTGTATAGTGTAGCAGCTTGTGTAAACTGTTGGAGGGATTATTACAATACAACCTGTCTATAATGAACCTGTATATTGTAGCAGCTTGTGAATAAACTGTACATACAGATCTCACTGTTGGAGGGATTATTACAATACAACCTGTCTATAATGAACCTGTATAGTGTAGCAGCTTGTGTAAACTGTACATACAATCTCACTGTTGGAGGGTATATGTGTAGCAGCTTGTGTAAACTGTACATACAGATCTCACTGTTGGAGGGATTATTACAATACAACCTGTCTATAATGAACCTGTATAAGGTATCAAGCTTGTGTAAACTGTACATACAGATCTCACTGTTGGAGGGATTATTACAATACAACCTGTCTATAATGAACCTGTATAGTGTAGCAGCTTGTGTAAACTGTACATACAGATCTCACTGTTGGAGGGATTATTACAATACAACCTGTCTATAATGAACCTGTATAGTGTAGCAGCTTGTGTAAACTGTACATACAGATCTCACTGTTGGAGGGATTATTACAATACAACCTGTCTATAATGAACCTGTATAATGTATCAAGCTTGTGTAAACTGTACATACAGATCTCACTGTTGGAGGGATTATTACAATACAACCTGTCTATAATGAACCTGTATAGTGTAGCAGCTTGTGTAAACTGTACATACAGATCTCACTGTTGGAGGGATTATTACAATACAACCTGTCTATAATGAACCTGTCTATATAGTGTAGCAAGCTTGTGTAAACTGTACATACAGATCTCACTGTTGGAGGGATTATTACAATACAACCTGTCTATAATGAACCTGTAATGAACTTGTGTAAACTGTATATGAACCTGTATAGTGTAAGCTTGTGTAAACTGTACATACAGATCTCACTGTTGGAGGGATTATTACAATACAACCTGTCTATAATGAACCTGTATATAGATCTCACAGATTATTACAATACTTGTATAGTGTAGCAGCTTGTGTAAACTGTACATACAGATCTCACTGTTGGAGGGATTATTACAATACAACCTGTCTATAATGAACCTGTATCTCACTTGACCTGTATCAAGCTTGTGTAAACTGTACATACAGATCTCACTGTTGGAGGGATTATTACAATACAACCTGTCTATAATGAACCTGTATAATGTATCAAGCTTGTGTAAACTGTACATACAGATCTCACTGTTGGAGGGATTATTACAATACAACCTGTCTTTAATGAACCTTTATATTGTATCAAGCTTGTGTAAACTGTACATACAGATCTCACTGTTGGAGGGATTATTACAATACAACCTGTCTATAATGAACCTGTATAGTGTAGCAGCTTGTGTAAACTGTACATACAGATCTCACTGTTGGAGGGATTATTACAATACAACCTGTCTATAATGAACCTGTATAGTGTAGCAGCTTGTGTAAACTGTACATACAGATCTCACTGTTGGAGGGATTATTACAATACAACCTGTCTATAATGAACCTGTATAATGTATCAAGCTTGTGTAAACTGTACATACAGATCTCACTGTTGGAGGGATTATTACAATACAACCTGTCTATAATGAACCTGTATAGTGTAGCAGCTTGTGTAAACTGTACATACAGATCTCACTGTTGGAGGGATTATTACAATACAACCTGTCTATAATGAACCTGTATAATGTATCAAGCTTGTGTAAACTGTACATACAGATCTCACTGTTGGAGGGATTATTACAATACAACCTGTCTATAATGAACCTGTATAATGTATCAAGCTTGTGTAAACTGTACATACAGATCTCACTGTTGGAGGGATTATTACAATACAACCTGTCTATAATGAACCTGTATAGTGTAGCAGCTTGTGTAAACTGTACATACAGATCTCACTGTGGAGGGATTATTACAATACAACCTGTCTATAATGAACCTGTATAATGTAGCAGCTTGTGTAAACTGTACATACAGATCTCACTGTTGGAGGGATTATTACAATACAACCTGTCTATAATGAACCTGTATAGTGTAGCAGCTTGTGTAAACTGAGGGATTATTACAATACAACCTGTGAACCTGTATAGTGTAGCAGCTTGTGTAAACTGTACATACAGATCTCACTGTTGGAGGGATTATTACAATACAACCAGTCTATAATGAACCTGTATATAGTATCAAAGCTTGTGTAAACTGTACATACAGATCTCACTGTTGGAGGGATTATTACAATACAACCTGTCTATAATGAACCTGTATAATGTATCAAGCTTGTGTAAACTGTACATACAGATCTCACTGTTGGAGGGATTATTACAATACAACCTGTCTATAATGAACCTGTATAGTGTAGCAGCTTGTGTAAACTGTACATACAGATCTCACTGTTGGAGGGATTATTACAATACAACCTGTCTATAATGAACCTGTATAATGTATCAAGCTTGTGTAAACTGTACATACAGATCTCACTGTTGGAGGGATTATTACAATACAACCTGTCTATAATGAACCTGTATAGTGTAGCAGCTTGTGTAAACTGTACATACAGATCTCACTGTTGGAGGGATTATTACAATACAACCTGTCTATAATGAACCTGTATAATGTATCAAGCTTGTGTAAACTGTACATACAGATCTCACTGTTGGAGGGATTATTACAATACAACCTGTCTATAATGAACCTGTATAATGTATCAAGCTTGTGTAAACTGTACATACAGATCTCACTGTTGGAGGGATTATTACAATACAACCTGTCTATAATGAACCTGTATAGTGTAGCAGCTTGTGTAAACTGTACATACAGATCTCACTGTTGGAGGGATTATTACAATACAACCTGTCTATAATGAACCTGTATAGTGTAGCAGCTTGTGTAAACTGTACATACAGATCTCACTGTTGGAGGGAATACAACCTGTCTATAATGAACCTGTATAACCTGTATGTATCAAGCTTGTGTAAACTGTACATACAGCTTGTGTAAACTGTACATACAGATCTGTACATACAGATCTCACTGTTGGAGGGATTATTACAATACAACCTGTCTATCACTGTTGGAGGGATTATTACAATACAACCTTTATATAATGAAACTTTATTATGTATCAAGCTTGTGTAAACTGTACATACAGATCTCACTGTTGGAGGGATTATTACAATACAAAGATTATATGAACCTGTATAGTGTAGCAGCTTGTGTAAACTGTACATACAGATCTCACTGTTGGAGGGATTATTACAATACAACCTGTCTATAATGAACCTGTATAATGTATCAAGCTTGTGTAAACTGTACATACAGATCTCACTGTTGGAGGGATTATTACAATACAACCTGTCTATAATGAACCTGTATAATGTATCAAGCTTGTGTAAACTGTACATACAGATCTCACTGTTGGAGGGATTATTACAATACAACCTGTCTATAATGAACCTGTATAATGTATCAAGCTTGTGTAAACTGTACATACAGATCTCACTGTTGGAGGGATTATTACAATACAACCTGTCTATAATGAACCTGTATAATGTATCAAACTTGTGTAAACTGTACATACAGATCTCACTGTTGGAGGGATTATTACAATACAACCTGTCTATAATGAACCTGTATAGTGTAGCAGCTTGTGTAAACTGTACATACAGATCTCACTGTTGGAGGGATTATTACAATACAACCTGTCTATAATGAACCTGTATAGTGTATCAAGCTTGTGTAAACTGTACATACAGATCTCACTGTTGGAGGGATTATTACAATACAACCTGTCTATAATGAACCTGTATAATGTATCAAGCTTGTGTAAACTGTACATACAGATCTCACTGTTGGAGGGATTATTACAATACAACCTGTCTATAATGAACCTGTATATTGTATCAGCTTGTGTAAACTGTACATACAGATCTCACTGTTGGAGGGATTATTACAATACAACCTGTCTATAATGAACCTGTATAGTGTAGCAGCTTGTGTAAACTGTACATACAGATCTCACTGTTGGAGGGATTATTACAATACAACCTGTCTATAATGAACCTGTATAATGTATCAAGCTTGTGTAAACTGTACATACAGATCTCACTGTTGGAGGGATTATTACAATACAACCTGTCTATAATGAACCTGTATAATGTATCAAGCTTGTGTAAACTGTACATACAGATCTCACTGTTGGAGGGATTATTACAATACAACCTGTCTATAATGAACCTGTATAGTGTAGCAGCTTGTGTAAACTGTACATACAGATCTCACTGTTGGAGGGATTATTACAATACAACCTGTCTATAATGAACCTGTATAATGTATCAAGCTTGTGTAAACTGTACATACAGATCTCACTGTTGGAGGGATTATTACAATACAACCTGTCTATAATGAACCTGTATAGTGTAGCAGCTTGTGTAAACTGTATGTACATACAGATCATACAACACTTGTGTAAACTGTACATACAGATCTCACTGTTGGAGGGATTATTACAATACAACCTGTCTATAATGAACCTGTATATGTAGCTTGTGTAAGCTTGTGTGGAGGGAAACTGTATAGTGTAGCAGCTTGTGTAAACTGTACATACAGATCTCACTGTTGGAGGGATTATTACAATACAACCTGTCTATAATGAACCTGTATAGTGTAGCAGCTTGTGTAAACTGTACATACAGATCTCACTGTTGGAGGGATTATTACAATACAACCTGTCTATAATGAACCTGTATAGTGTAGCAGCTTGTGTAAACTGTACATACAGATCTCACTGTTGGAGGGATTATTACAATACAACCTGTCTATAATGAACCTGTATATTGTATCAAACTTGTGTAAACTGTACATACAGATCTCACTGTTGGAGGGATTATTACAATACATTTCTATAATGAACCTGTATAGTGTAGCAGCTTGTGTAAACTGTACATACAGATCTCACTGTTGGAGGGATTATTACAATACAACCTGTCTATAATGAACCTGTATATTGTATCAAACTTGTGTAAACTGTACATACAGATCTCACTGTTGGAGGGATTATTACAATACATTTCTATAATGAACCTGTATAGTGTAGCAGCTTGTGTAAACTGTACATACAGATCTCACTGTTGGAGGGATTATTACAATACAACCTGTCTATAATGAACCTGTATAGTGTAGCAGCTTGTGTAAACTGTACATACATATCTCACTGTTGGAGGGATTATTACAATACAACCTGTCTATAATGAACCTGTATAATGTATCAAACTTGTGTAAACTGTACATACAGATCTCACTGTTGGAGGGATTATTACAATACAACCTGTCTATAATGAACCTGTATAGTGTAGCAGCTTGTGTAAACTGTACATACAGATCTCACTGTTGGAGGGATTATTACAATACAACCTGTCTATAATGAACCTGTATGATGTATCAAGCTTGTGTAAACTGTACATACAGATCTCACTGTTGGAGGGATTATTACAATACAACCTGTCTATAATGAACCTGTATAATGTATCAAGCTTGTGTAAACTGTACATACAGATCTCACTGTTGGAGGGATTATTACAATACAACCTGTCTATAATGAACCTGTATATTGTAGCAGCTTGTGTAAACTGTACATACAGATCTCACTGTTGGAGGGATTATTACAATACAACCTGTCTATAATGAACCTGTATAGTGTAGCAGCTTGTGTAAACTGTACATACAGATCTCACTGTTGGAGGGATTATTACAATACAACCTGTCTATAATGAACCTGTATAATGTATCAAGCTTGTGTAAACTGTACATACAGATCTCACTGTTGGAGGGATTATTACAATACAACCTGTCTATAATGAACCTGTATAATGTATCAAGCTTGTGTAAACTGTACATACAGATCTCACTGTTGGAGGGATTATTACAATACAACCTGTCTATAATGAACCTGTATAGTGTAGCAGCTTGTGTAAACTGTACATACAGATCTCACTGTTGGAGGGATTATTACAATACAACCTGTCTATAATGAACCTGTATAGTGTAGCAGCTTGTGTAAACATGACAATAAAATCACTTTGTTTCTGTTCTGTCTCATATGTAAGCTGTTTTCCAGAAAACGTGTTGACTTCCTTGCAACCACTGCATTGAGTATAGAAAATTGTTCTTCTAGAGATAACTCCCTGCCCCTCCTACCCCATACAATGTTCAATATACTGATGTTCTGGTCAATTTTCTATCAACTGTATACCTTGAAGTGTTGTCATAATTACTGTTTCCTTGACCAATGGACAAACTGCTTCTTTAATATCTGGGCACCTCATATAACCTCGGAAACCTGGCACCTGAGTAGATAAAGTAGGAAAAAGATCATACTTTAGCAGTAAATAGTTAGAGGAGGCAGTTACTTTGCTTGTATGTAACAGACTTTGGGCAGAAAAAATTTCAATGATTTTGATGTTATTGTGTTTTAAATGTCTTTACTATATAGTTTGTTTTTTTCTGAAGGATTTCTTTCAACAAGAAGCCTTCTTAAGCCCAAAAAGGCTTTTGGCCATGATTTTGGTTTTCTTTAAATCCTATTACGTCATAATCTAAACAGCACTCCCGTCGATATGGGGCTCCTCAAATACATGTATATCCGATATCTGTTTTGGGGCAGTCTAAAGTACTCACTATGCATGAGTGAAAAATTTGATGAGGTGACTGGTCATATGGTACATGTCACAACAAAGTGTTACTTTGGCTGATCGTGTCAGATGTAGAAGGCAGACATTTTTCACATGATCTTATTTTTTCACAACCCCCTATGTCAATAATTTTAAGTTACCAAGAGACAATGAACAAATTATGCTCAAAAATGTAATTTTTCTATCTAAACTGTGGTAAATTTTAGCCTGTGAGATATCTTGTTGTTGAGACATAGATTTTTTAAATGTTTCATTCAATTTGACCTTTATGACCCCACCCATCTGCCCCTTGTGTCAGCCAGGGTCAATATGTGCATATCATCAAACTGTCATCCTATACTAACAATCTTAACCCGAGATGTACTCAGGGGTTTTCCAGAAGAAGTTGAACATGTTAAAAACTTTTGATGCACAATGCACAGCGCACACCTCACAATGCCAGACAAAAGACAATTGCAATAAGTTACCATTTTTTTCTCAAGAGACCTATAAATCTGAAACGTCACCATACTGTATCGACCAATACATGACATGTCAGCTGCCAACAGCAGTAGTAGTAGTCAGAAACAATTATTAACCCAGCAAAACATTTTGGAATATTTTAGCAGTAAGGGCAAAACCACTCTTCATTTCAGTTTTTCAATGTTCTAACAAAGGTTGTGGCCAATGGCATCAGTGGAACTAGGGCAGAAGTTTATAATGTAATTTTCTAGGTGGCCATAATGGTCATTTCGAATGTTGGACCAACCCAAAAACTAACAACACTTGGTCAGTTTCTCTTCGGACCAGGTGAGCTAATATACTAAAAATAAACATTCTCTAATACTGGTTTTCTGTAGCAGACATCATACTTCACCTATGACCTCTCATTCATTTGTAATTTACTCATAAATAAAGTTTTAAGGTCTATGTACACAAAGATCACTTACAGTGATGATATCACCATGGTAACAGGTGACCCAGTCTGAACTGTCAATTTTGACCTCCAGAGTTCGATTAATATCACACCTGTGCTGGAAACACATTCCTTTCAGTGGGGCAACATCACCTTCCTACAAAGAATAAACTGTCATCAATAAAATTTTTATTGAAACACTAGCCCAGTTTACATCATATAAATGGAAAATGTGAAAATAAATAAATTAATGATCTCCCAATTCATATCATATATATTTCACAAACAGGCAGAATGTCTATATTTTTTTGCACCTGATAAAAATATAGATATAAGTGAAATATATATATATATTTACTCAAACCAGTGTTTGAAGTATTAGCAAGCTCTTTGACGTCGACAATACACTTGACAACAAGGAGATTCCAGTTTAGATTGGTCACTACTAGTATGTCATTTTATGTTGTTCTGTTGTTCAGGAATTCTGACATTCCGATAGAAGATGAAGGATTTTAGAGAGTTTGCTCTATTTCTGGCAAATTATGCGATTCAGTCTTTTCCACAAGAAGCCGAGTGGCCTTGACTGTAACCATAGGTAAGCAATACTGAATATGTAAGTTATAAGGTAAGAAGCTTTTCTACAAGAAGCCGAGTGGCCTTGACTGTAACCATAGGTAAGCAATACTGAATATGTAAGTTATAGGGTAAGAAGCTTTTCTACAAGAAGCCGAGTGGCCTTGACTGTAACCATAGGTAAGCAATACTGAATATGTAAGTTATAGGGTAAGAAGCTTTTCTACAAGAAGCTGAGTGGCCGTGACTGTAACCAGAGGTAAGCAATACTGACTATGTATGTTATATGGTAAGAAGTTTTTAAGTGTTGAGAAAAAGAATCTATGACATTGATGTTAGTAAGACTTAAGTTATGTAGTGTTAATATATGTACACCATCAAAACTCTCAACCTATACTTATAATTCTTATCAAGTATTTCCAATGGAAAATAAGCAATGTTATGCTCAAAAATCTAAATAATGCAATTTTGCTATATAAATGTAGTAAACTTCTGCTCCTCCTTGGGGTGAAATGTAAGACATAGGGTCATGAAATTCACAATTTTTGGTAAATCACCTAAAGACCCTGCCAGCAATTCAGAACATTTGATTCTACCATATCTGGGTTTTGAGTAAAGAATTTAAAAAAAATATGAGTCAATTTTACCTTTTTCGACACTGTCCATCAGCCTTTGAGCCCCACCCCAGATCCTTTTGTTTAAGGCTGTTTAAGACCAAACTTGGACAAAATCTCAGCATTCCGACAAAAAGAAGAATTTTAAAGGATTTGTTGTATTTCCCATATTGGGCCCCACCCCTTCCATCCCTGGGGCTGAGATCCCCAGTTTATACTCAATTGATTCCTCTTCACCCAACTCAAACAAACAGACCTTCAGACTAATTTTGGACAAAACCAAACTAGATCTGCCAGCCTGAGGATAATTAATACCCCCAGCAGATGCAAAGATATCTGTATACCAAATTTGGCCAAAACTCTGTGAAAAAGGTAAAAAAAAACCAGTTGAAACTTAATCAGATGCCAGGATTGTGTTGCCTAAGTAATTGTTTCTGCTTTAAATCAGTAATACCATTTGACCAGAGTCAAATAATAATCTTTTGAATGACCAACGGGTAATGGCCATTAACTGTAAAACCTGTTTACAGTTACCAATACAAGGCAACTACCACTTTGGGAAAAAATAAGGAAAAAAGCCCTATTATGTCAAATGGTACAGTTCAACAAAGTTGGATTTTAAAAGGTCTGTTGTAAACTGAGCAAATGCATAGCTGAACAAATTTGTCTACTGACAGACAAACAGCAGAGGGTTTAAGAGGTATAACCATTCTTTAAAGAAGAAAAAAATTAGAGAATTTACTAGATTTTCCATTTGGGCCTCATCTCCTAAGAGTGAGTGGGGTCATAGCCCTCATTTATAAAAATTGACTCACCTTTCACAAAGGATGCTTCAAACCCAATTTGGTCATGAACAGTTTTCTTGTTTATGTAGTGATTTTAAATCAAGTATTTAAACAAAGTATAACATCTGAATGAAGATGTACACAACTTACCAACAATGTTAGGTTGGACATGAAGCAAAGACTTGATGGACCAAACACCTCCAGACTTGATGTTTTTGAGTGTTTACTCTCCCCTGAGCATTGGTCCTGGAACAATAGTTACAAACAGACTGTTTAACATTACATGTCCTGTTGTTAACTCACTAACTTAACTACATATGTGACATTATATTGCATTCACTGAATGTCTTATTTTCCAATCTTGGTTTTGGAGTTGATATTTGTTAAAACAGTAACAAGCTGATGCACCGGTTTAGAATATTTATGGTCTGTGGTTGATGTTTAAGGCCTGACCCTGCTTAATGAATGATGTCACTTTTTTCCATGAAAACGAAAAACAGTATATTCAACAATATATATATCATGCCAGAGCAAAATACAATGGAAGGATTTCTCTAAAGAAATACAGCAGTTAGAACTTAGAAGTATAAATTATGTGGAAAGCAAGGATATGTAATGCTATCCACATTTTTTGTAAAACTGACAAGTTAAGTTCATGTACTACAGGGACACTGACAACACAAACTACAGGGACACTAACAACACTACACTACAGGGACACTGACAACACAAACTACAGGGACACTGACAACACTATACTACAGGGACACTGACAACACTACACTACAGGGACACTGACAACACTATACTACAGGGACACTGACAACACTATACTACAGGGACACTGACAACACAAACTACAGGGACACTGACAACACTATACCACAGGGACACTGACAACACTATACTACAGAGACACTGACAACACAAATTACAGGGACACTGACAACACAAACAACAGGGACACTGACAACACTATACTACAGGGACACTGACAACACTACACTACAGGGACACTGACAACACTATACTACAGGGACACTGACAACACTATACTAAAACGAACACTGACAACACTATA